CAAGAGAGAAGATTTATCATTTTGTATTACGTCTTTTTGACATTTAGAGGAACATTGATCTTGTAATTCATTTCCTATCTGTTGAGATCATAGTTTTCTTAAATTGCATGTACAAATAGCATTATATATACAGCACAGATTGGATTTCAGATTGTAAAAATACATAAAGGACAACATACATACATGAGAAAGGTTAGTTTTCACTTCATCATTCTCATTCTGCATTTGATCAAATTCTTTTAGGTTATAAATGATGTAATTTGTAAATTCTTTATGTTAAATTTTTTTTCAATATCCTTAGAATTAGAAGTTAAAGGACCATATGTTGACAAAAAATTGGCTGTAATTTTATCTATAAATTACACTTTTTTTCTTTTTTAGAGGGGTTGCCCGCTGGGGTCGTCCCTGTCTGAATCCGTGCCTGGTTATGAAATAAAGGAAAAAAGGAAAGGCATGCTTATATAAACCAGTCAAGAAAATATCTTCATTTAAGTTGCATTGTTAAATCTTAAAAACGATATCATTTAAAAATTCTTATTCGAAAATGAATGGATTTTGATCATTAATGCATAATAGTTTTGAAGAATTTGTTTAGGAACCTTTTTTTAGTTACAAGTAGTGTGTCTTATCTGAAACATAAGCTACAACAGAGACTTGTTAACATTTCTAACAGTTGTTCAGCAACTTGAGCTACTGTTATTATTTTTAGCAAAAATGTGCAATAATTGTCAGGAAATAAAGACAGTAATAGAAGTACAGGAGTTACTGTAAACTGAAATGGCATGTTGATCTAATACTAACAATGTTTTGTTCAGTAGGCCTGACAGATCAATCTATACTGAAATAACCTAGGATTTAATAATGCTCGATAACTATTAAAAAGTTTGCTGAGATCTTGAACAGGAAAATTAGGCAGATCGCTTGTCTTTTAAATCATCTAGGAGATCAGTTTTCACAAAACATAATCTTGTCTCCAGACAGAATACATTGATGCAGATAACTTGTTTAAGATCCCATTTTCAGTGTTATTTTCTACAATTTATGCTGTTATACAGAAGAGCACTGTTTACTTTGGAATTGATTTTATTTATTTTTTGAAAAAGAAAAGGATTACATCACTAAGTGCCAGTTCTGGTGTGTTTGTTCAAGATTGCAGCATTCATGTACAAACATTCATAATTTACATTTAGGTAGGATAGAAAGTTGTCTTCAATAACCACAATATTTTGTAGCTTTAGATATATATTATCCTGCTATCAGGTATCTTTTTGCTGCCTACTTTATTAGTTTTGCTTCATTTAATGCATAAACCATACATAATTGTATAGAACTGGTCATTCTAATCAATTGATAATTAAACAATGGTTAAATATTGGAGTCAGCATTGCTGAGGCGAAATAGCTTGATTCAAATGACTCTACTATTAAGGACATAATGATTTGGGGTCAATGTGTCTCTAATAGTAGTGATTCATTCTTCAGTTTTTGGAATCAAACATTTATTTTAATGTTCTATATATTACATTGAAATTTTGGAAAAAGGTGAAGATAGGAGCAATTTATCAATTTATGAAGATATTATATGAGTTTGAATGTCCCTTTGGTATCTTTTACCTCTATTTTATAAGTGCAAGAAAAACAGACAATACTATGACCAAAAAGATAAAGGACAAAGAGACAATCAACTGTTAACAAAATGGTACACAATAAATAAAGACCCTACCGAATCAAAGAGGTGAATTGATGGACTCCAGAGGAGTAAGCAGTTTCTTCTCCACTAGTGGCACCCATTGTGTTGTTTATAGCCAATACAAAAAAAATGGTAAAATATCACATTCAAGTGATGTAACAACCTAGATGTTGACTACTACAACGGGAACATATCCAAGATCATCTATGACACAAATATTATATAACAGTCAATCAAATCATGATAGCATCTGTAAAACTTTCAAATGGATGATTTTCGTTATACCATTAGGTACCCTATGTTCAATAGCTTTTAAGCAGCAACCCCTTATCAAAGAATTCAGGATAAAACTGCAAGTCCTGGGTGAATATTAACTTGATGATATATACTCCATATGGAGGCACTGCTTGAATGACACAGGAAAAATTAGTTCATAATGCGAAAATTGAAATAATTTTTTTTTCATAAAGTTTAAGTCTCAACCAACCCTCATTGTTAATTTCTAGATGTAAGTCTAGTTATGAAGCAGACTTTACTGTATATGTGATACCCTTCATTTTAAGTTCAATTGGATAAATATTGATAAAAACATTCACAACTTTGCATGGTCATCCAGCTTACCATCAGATTTATTTTCACAATTTTTTTTACATTGGTACTAATTCTATTGCCATTATAGAATAGTTGATTACACAACCCTGACACTTGTAAAAATGATGTTTAATCATTTCATCATTGTACATGGTTTGCCTTTTCACCCAATCTATTCATGCATCTTTCATGGCATAAAGATAGCATTTAGTCCCAACAACGAACTTCTCTGAGAATGAGATCCTGTTTTATCACAGCAACATGATTATTCTTCTGTAACACATTGAATGTATTCATGAGATAACATATCAGTGGGTTGTCCTAAGTATTTTTTGTTCTTTTAAGAATTTTGTGTTGATGACTTGAATGTATTCATGAGATAACATATCAGTGGATTGTCCTAAGTATTTTTTGTTCTTTTAAGAATTTTGTGTTGATGACTTGAATGTATTCATGAGATAACATATCAGTGGGTTGTCCTAAGTATTTTTTGTTCTTTTAAGAATTTTGTGTTGATGACAGATCTGTTATATATGACTTGTCTAAACTTAAGGGTATTTAGAGATTGGCATACCAGGTAGACATGTTTACTGTTGAATACCCAAATGGGGGACTTCTAGATTTCTTTTCTTGGGTTGTTAGGTTACTCTTTCATTGAAAGTGACTGATTGGTCTGAATAATTTATCTATAGTGATCACTAGGCTGTCAACTCTAAAGTGAGGAGTTTGAACCCCACTTGTGGCATGATTTGTTTCCTCCACCAACAAAAACTGGCCGCTATGATATAGCGGATGTAGCTTTAAAAGTGGCATTAAACACATACAAACTCACAAACATTTAAGTATACCTCACATCTCATGTTATTCATATCTATTGTTACTAACATGGAAGATTCTGTTGTATACATTTTTGCACTTTGTGATCTATCATTAGTTATGTGTCAGTTACCTTCACCTTATTATATAGTGTAAACACAATGAAAGAGTGGACTCAGACAAGTGCCAGGAGATGAAGAATGATAAACAGTTATCATTGTCAATTAATGTTAATCATCATTATATCATTTGATATAATAAAGGGCAGATAACTCCCGTTTCCTGTCAATTACATACCATAACAAGCAATTCTAATTTTACAGTTCTTTAGGATAGTGACTTGTTGACAAGAAAATTAAACTTAATGTGTTTCATTATTATTGTCCCTCATGATGTTTGTAATTTTTAGTGAAGTTAGGTTAACTGATCATCTTGTTTTAGGGTTTGGTTGTATAACGTCAACTATTTTTCATTTTCATTTTTTCCATTCATAAATGGAAATGTTATTTTAATTTGTTCATTCATCAATTTAATTTAATTTTGACTTCAAAAAAATTCTACTATATGAAAAAAAACGATATTTCATGATAGTGGATACATCTGAAACTATGTATGTACTATGAAAGTCCAAAGCTTGACCTACATTTTGTATATGAAATTAGAAGTGCAATTTAAAAGTACAAATTTTGATTGATTAAGCTAAGCCTTATCTCATTTTCTGTTTTTTCTTACTTTTGTCTTTTCTTTTTTTCATTTTTGTGTGGATTTAAAATCAGATATAACAGTTTTATCTTTACATAATGTAGATATCTGCTAACACATACAAAAAGCATGGTGTGTTAAAATTTCTGCACTTAACTTGGCAAGCTAGAATATATATACAAGAACTTCATATTTCTGTTTTAATTTTCACACATTTTGTACATGGATCTTATGTAATATTGTAAACTAATAGGCTGGAATGTCAGTTAAATCAAATAGTTTAAATGTAAATCAATAAAAATTTAGCTGCTGCACTGAATGAATTTAAACCTTTTGAATTTAAATTTTCATACTTTTAAAAAGTTTTATTTTTTTGTATGATGTAAGATAATTACATACACCTTAACAATTATGTTTGAAAGAAGTACTGTAAGTGAAAGGAGAAAGGGAAATGTCTGGATAATGACTTGAAATATCGAAATTTTTTTAGGGTAGGAAAGATTTTCTAAATTTTACAATTTTTCTTCATTTTGTATATTTTTGGCCAGGTTTTAAAAAGGGCAAAAACTGGCTTATAGGTTGGTGATATTGGGCAGTCAGGGAAAATTATAGCTTATTATACGGTATTGGTTTTGCTCACTGTTGAAGGCTGTGCCATGACCTATAGTTGCTTACACCTACGTCATTTGGTGGATAGTTAGTTGTCTCATTGGCAATCACACCACATTTCCTTATTTTAGTCATTTTCATCAAAGTTTAATTCAGCAGTACCTATTTTGTGTAATCTGTGCTACAGTTTTCAACCAAGATCATCGACACAGGTAAATTGCAGTTGTGCACCTGTTTTTGTGGAATTATTTGAGGAGTTTTCCAATTGTTCTAAGACTAGGAAACAGTCTTGTTGTAGGAAAATATACAAAAGACTGTACCTAAATTGTGTAATTAACTTCTCCTACAGACCTTGAAAGTTCACAAAAAGGTGTACATATATTGGAGTTTTCCACTTGCTATTTTGGAGTTGTATGAGGAATTTTTGTCCTTGCTTATTGTTGAAGGCTGCAATGATCTTTAGACATAAATACATGTATTTACTTTCTTATCTGTTTTGTCTTTGGTTGGTAATCATACCAGATTTATTTTTTTTGTATTATATTAGTTGTTCTACAGTATCTTTTAGTTTTATTTACATTTACGTTTTGTAGTTACAGGTAGGCAGATGTCAATGAACAGAGAAAAATGAAGAAATTACAGCTGTCCAAGTGCCTAGGACATGTGATATTACGTTTAATACTTCTATTATTTTGGAGTTGCAAGGGCCTAGCTCAGAGCTCATCATCATTATTTTCATCAACACCATCATCAGTATCATCTATAGTTTCATCTTCACCAGACATATTGCCTTCTTCATGGACCTTTGTTGGGAAAGGATATATAGCAGTGTATCCAGCAATATTTTCAAATCAAAATCCAGATTACAAATTATCATTCCGGACAAGAAACTCAAATGCAGTTATTTTTTGTCACATTCTAAAGGAATTAAAAGAAACCAAGCATTTATCAGTGGGAACCTATGAATTTTGTGGCGAATTACATAAAGGATCTTTAAAAATTACATACAAATTAAATGGAAATACAGATACTTTTTACATAGGAAAAGGTAAGTCTATGTACAATTTTTGAGATTACTGCTGTATGCATTTAAGGTATAAAAAAAGCAGTTTTATATAATGTTATTAGGAGGCGAATTGTACAAAGTTGAACTTTCCTTCAGAAATTTTGACAACTTGTTGAGGCCATAATAAACTAGTTCTAGACGTTATTCCAACTTTTTTTCATAATTGAGTTGGGCAGGCAAATTTTATTGTGTAGTTTTGGCATATTTTGTGAAAACTTTCTGCAAAAATAAAAAAAAAATAGCCAGAAATCAAAATTGTTTTTTTATTAGCTCTAAAAAAAATTAGAGGCAAGTGGGGATGATGACTTTTTTTTATTATGGCCTTATGATACTCATGATTTTGATCTTGGCAGGCAATTTTTTTCTTTTAGGGATATGTGAAAAAAATTATTTCTGATTCACAGAAAATGATATTTTAATGTACCATACTGTTGGAATCATATTATAATTAGTTAATAGTTGTTACGCATATTATATGATAGCAGTGTGAAATTATTATGTAATTCCCGAATAAAACACTATGTATTGATCGCCAGTGTTAAAACTTCAGCTAGAAGTGTTTTTACGTGAACAGATCATATTTTAAAAATGAAGCTATTAGCATTTAAATGAAAATATTGTATTTCCTTGCATAATTTATTTCTAACCATGCTGAAAGGAATCATACATCATCACCAATTATCAATTGAGATAAAAGATATATGATCTCTTCATACAGAGACTGTTTTGAATGAATATTTCTGTATTTTTAAACTTTTAATTAACATGTTAAAATACCTTCTGATTCTGTGCTCGAACATAAATTTCATAATCAATGCATCAAACATTACCTAGTACTTGTGAGCTATTTATTTATTAATGTCAACAGCAAAAAATTCAAATTTCAAACATAAATGGTGGTAAAGTCGGCTAAACACAAAAATTAGTTGTTTTTAGTTCTCAGGTGATTACAGAATCTACAACTAATACAGTATTTCAAGTAACATGTAGAGTACACTTAGTTCTCAATTCTCCACCATTTTTAATATATTGTTTGTATTAAGTCTCCCCTTAATTTCTGTTTCTTGAGAGTCATATTTTTATGTCAATTATGTCCCAGCAATCATATATATTAAGGACACTGTCAATCTTTGAGGTTTGTATGTAAAAATTAAGAGATTTGGTATGATTGCCAATAAGACAACTATCCACGAGAGACTGAAGAATGTGAATGTAAGGAACCATATGGAGTTCAACTAGAGCTAAACCCATTCTGTATAGTAAGCTATAAAGACCCTTGCATGACAAAAAGTGAAACAATTCAAACAAGAAACCTTGTACATCTATTGCTCACCAACCAATGTCACCAAAATAAAGACTAAATATTGTCGTCTTTATTCAGCACTCTTGGTATACACAATAAGGATGGTGCTTATTGGTTTTTAAGGTCAAAGATCAAATTAAGTGGATGTAAGGAATTGTAGGCAACAACATACTTTTGACATTGTTTGGGCTCTATACAGGAGTGGATCATGAATTTGTTTAGGCTGGGTTCTAATGGTTCCATAATTAGGAGGGTTCTAGCCTAATTGTCCCCCACGCTATGTGATGTCAGGGACATAGAAATACCAGGCGTCCGTTCACCTGTCTGCCTGTTTGTGTGTCTGTCCGTCCAGTCTTGTTAACGCTCTCACGTGTACAATTTTTGCCAGATTTTTATAAAACTTATATTGTAGGTTTGTATCAGCAATGTCTTAGAAGAGTTGAAAACAGTTCCGATCAATTATTTTTAAAAAGAGTTATGCCCCTTGGAAACATTAATTATATGGAAAATTCCATCGTTAGTGCTTTCATGTGTACAATTGTTACCAAATTTTTATGAAACATATAACATAGCTTTATATCCGCAAGGTCTCAGACTAGTTCGAAAATCAGTGCCAAATCAATTGATTTTAAAAGAGTTATGCCCCTTGGAAACAATAATTATATGGAAAATTGCATCATTAGCGCTCTCATGTGTACAATTCTTACCAGATTTTTATGAAACTTATATAATAGCTTCATATCAGCAATATCTCGGATGAGTCTGAAAATCAGTGCCAGATCAATTATTTTTAAAAGAGTTATGCCCTTGGAAATATTGATTATAAGGAAAATTGCATTTTTAGTGCTATCATGTGTACAATTCTTGCCAGATTTTTGTGAAACTTATATCATAGGTTTATATCAGCAATGTGTCAGACAATTTCGAAAAAATAACTCCTGATCAAATATTTTATCGAGTTAGGCCCCTTGGAAATATTCATTATGTTGGAAATTGCATTGCTTTTGCTCTCAAGCTTTCATTTCTCTAAGATATTGATAAAAAGTTTTAAAGAACAAAAAAAATGTTTTTTTTTAGTTATTGCCCTTAGACCTTGGATATATAAAATATGTGCAACGCGGTGGACATTGGAACTCTGTTCTTTTATTGTTGTTGATTTTTACATGATTTTTAAAAAAGATCATAGAAAGTGGGTTCTAGACCCCCTCTTCTGGATCTGCCAATGCTATATCTTGTATGAAATGGGCATTTATGATTATTTGTGGATTTCTTGTTAAACACAAAATTTAATCATTCAAAAAAGTACACAAAGGATGAAGAGCTACATTAACATTGATTTCTTTTTTTTTTTTATAAAAAATGGTGTTGTAACATTTCATGAGATTTTTTAGCTGTGTAAACGCATTCTGCATCTACAGGGCAACATAGTTCAACTGTGCAAAAACTTAATGGGAGATTTAGGCCTGTTTATATATTAAAAGTGATATGCGGCTGGGTTGTGTTTAAACTTACAAGTCTTTTTAATTAATTATACCCCATGCAACGAGTTGCGGAGGGTATAATGTTTTTGACCCATCCGTCCGTCTGTCCGTCCGTCCGTTCGTTAGTCCGTCAGTCCATCAGTCCTGTTTCTTGTCATCGCAACTCCTCTCAAACCACACAACAGAATTTCACGAAACCTTTTTAGATAATAAGGACATACTATGTAGTTGTGCATATCGACAGGAAATTACGATTCAATTCTTTTTCTAGGAGTTACACCCCTTTGAACTTATTTACTTTAATGTACTACTGCAACCTTTTGTCAATGCAACTCCTCTCAAACCACACAACAGAGTTTCATGAAATTGTGTAGATAATAAGGACATACTATGAAGATGTGCATATTGACAGGAAATTATGATTAAAATTTTTTTCTGATACAATTTTTTTTTCTTACACTTATTTTATTTCTCCAATGACAATATGGGGATGTGGGGTACGTGAGCGCGCTCACTAAGGTTCTTTCATTTTGTTTGAGTTGCATTTCTAGTTGGACAAGTATCATTTTTTAATTTTTAATAAAATAAATGGGTTTCAAGCTATTTTTGGACTCATATCTAAGTATCTGCTTGAAATTGCCAATTTGTCAGTTATTTATTTTTATGTAACTTGCTAATCAATAGAGTATGATTAAATTGAATACTGTATTTTCCCCATGAGACACACACGATGCATAATAGTTAGGTTTATTGCAATTTTCTTGCATACAAATTGTTGATTTGGTTCCAGGACCAGTGTTTGCAGATTTTTATTGACATATGAAAAAACAAAGATGAGACTGTGATATTTGATGTGTTTCAGTGAAATGTAAAAGTAGAAATCCTGGCATTTGTATTGATAAGGACATATAAATATTGACTATAATTATTAATGAGTTTCAGATTAAAATGAAAGGGAAATGAGATACCAGTGTATTTGTTAGTAAAGATTAATGGAACTAATTATGATATTAAAAATCAAACTTATATACTGACTGACAAAAATAAATCACCAGTAGATATGTCAAACACATCCCTATTCATAAAACCTGGTTTATTTGAAAGAGAAATGGGAAGACGAACTATTTTTATTACATAAGGGCAGAAGAGTTATATATAATCAAAGGGGCTGTTGTAGAAATATCAATCCAATAATTTAAAATCCAGAATACAAATAGTCAAAGCCAAGTTTGTTTATGTACAAAGAATTTGATAATACCGAATGTCTCAGCTTATGCATTATAAACTCCCAGAAAAACTTATTTGTTAGATGCTTAGAAATAAAATCCTGTTAGAAAATGACAAATAAAAAACAACAAATATTGGAAACATATAAGTGAAATTAATCCTGAACAATTGTAAATAAAGAAATCTATTCCATGCAATTATTCTAATGCAACAGGATGCCATAATTTCTGGTGTGGCCATTTTACAAGAAATTGTCGATTCAAACGCAACAGGAAGCTATAATTTCTGTTACTAGAATATCGATATGTTTAATCCTTTCAGTTATCCAAATCCTTACTAAGAGTGATTGTAGAAATGATTTAATCCTGTTGCATTGCAATAATGGAAAACAAGAATCAATGATTTCTCGATTAACACTTGATAAGGACTCAGAGTCCAAAAAAAAATTAGATGTTGCCATTGAGATAGATATCCACCAAACATCACTATAAGATAAGCTCTCAATTTATGCCCATAGAAAATAAGAAACTTTTAATTAGAATCTAAAGTGTTTTCAGTTCTCTAAATTTTATTTCCAACCAAGAAAATTAACAGTACAGTAGAACTAACCAGTTTTTTCCATTAAGGTTTATACAAGAATAATTTAGTTTCAGTGACAATGGAGTGGTCAATGATTCCTGCTGTGTAGTGTTAGAATATTTTAGTCATTTGCAATGTTTTAAATTATAGTTTATTATTTTTTCAGCATTAAATGATGATAAATGGCATTCATTAGAAGTGCAACTCCTGACCTCTGGTGACCTTATTGTGACCTTAGATGATGAGCCTTTAAGTAATCCAGTATCAGTATTAGATTGGAATACATTATCATCAGTCATATTATTTGGAGGTATGGACTAGTTATGTAGCCAAAAGTCAGTTCTTCGATAGAATGGTATATGGCTTTCTTTCAATAGACATTACACAATAAATCATGCATGTGTTAACCCATTTTCTACAACTTCAGTTCAGTTTATAATCAGAAGCAGTTGAAACAATTGTTAAGTACTGAAATCATTATTGTTCAGGTGAGACTTTACCTTAGATATAATCCTTTCTGAGCAATTTCATTTCAAACACCTAGCTGACCTTTTAAAGAAGCCAATGATATAATTGAAATAACATTGACCACCCACCTCCATGAAAACAAGTTGACATGTATACAACATGTATACGGTTTCTGCTGTTAAAACACTCAAATCCCTATGTCTTGTTTGACTTGGACAGTATAAAAATATGGAGATGTGTTATGATTGTCATACAGACAACTACTCACAAGATAACAAACGCCATGGATGTAAGCAACTTTTAAGTCCCTGTACAACTTTCAACAATGTGCAAAACACATATTGTATAGTAAACTATAAAAGGCCACATGAAAAAATATGAATCAATTCAAACGAGGAAAACCAACAGCCTGATTTATGCTAAAACAAATATGGCAGATAACAACCAACAACAACCACAGAATTACTAGCTCCAGACTTGGAACAGGCACATACAGAGTTTGTTGGGTGAAACATTTTGTGAGCACTCAACCCTCACCTAACCAGGGACAGTGGTGTAACAGCACCAACGTAAGAACAATCTAAAAATCAATTGAATAGGGACATACTCATCAGATTAGCATGAAGCACAAAAAACAACTAACAAAAAAACAAAAGACACAAAGTACCGATTGAAAAAGACTCATAGTTACTGAAAGCTAGTTCAAAGCCAATTACAACTTACAAATAAATCATGTCTTCCTAAGACTAAAATATCAATCAGTACACATCCCATTTAGTACGAATTAGTGTAAAACAAACTAATTTATTCTACCTTATCTGTCATTTTGTCATTTCCACCTAGCCTTGTATTAGTTTTCTTTCAATTTATCAGTTAGTTGTTTGTATTTTTGTTTTAATAATAGATTTATAAGATAAAGCTGGGAAGTCCCCTAGTATGTTAGCTTTTTGAGTCAAAGGGGACTGCAAATGATACTGTAACGATTCCTGTTCTTTTGAAAGCCCATTGGTTCCTACTAAACTGAAAATGTTGCACATAAATTGAGTGAGTGAGAAAAAGTGTCGGACAATTTATGAGTGAGGATGGTCTGAAAAAGAATGAACCGATTTTGTAGACACCTCAGAGTCATGTTTTAGTCACCGTTTAAATTGAGAATCTCTCATCACAAGATTACTGAAATCATACCATTCATTATCAATATTTTTATGCCCCTGCCACTAGATGAAAGGGCATTGAATGTTATCCTTGTCCGTCCCGTCCGTCCGTTCCGTCCTTCCGTCACGTATGTCCTCAAAATAAGTTTCCATTCTCTAACTTTAGTTTGCCTAAACCAAATGTAATAAAACTTATACACAATGCTTATTACCACAAAATCCAGATCAAGTTCGAAATTGGGTGGCGTCTATTTTACCGTTCATGAGTTATGCCCCTTTATAAACATAAAAATTAATGAAATTTTTGTTTCAGTTTTCTAATTTTAGCTTGCCTCAACCAAATGTTATAAAACTTACAAACAATGCTTATTACCCAAAACCCAGATCAAATTTGAAATTGGGTGGCGTCACTTTTACCATTCTTGAGTTATGCCCCTTTATAAATGGAAAAATTGCTAAATCAGTCGTTTCCGTTCTCTAACTTTAGTTTGCCTCAACCAAATGTTATAAAACTTATACACAATGCTTATTACCACAAAACACAGATCAATTTCGAAATTGGGTGGCGGCACTTTTACAATTGGTACATTGACTCATGCATATTTACAAGGGGGACATCTTTGGCCCATAGACACATTCTTCATTTATTTCATCATATACTCTTGTTTAATAGTATTTATAAATTAATTTTTGAAGAAGTTATGTTCAGACAGAATGTAGTTCCTTGTCTACCAATTACTTTTATTATTTTTGAAAAATCCTACATTGACTATAAAGTAAATTGGCATTGGTATGACATTGTACATCTGTATATGAAGTTTTATTTATATTTTTAGCAGTTCAAAAGAAAATTGATTTTTACAAAATTATATAATCTCAAAATTGTTATGATATATTTTCATTTAATATAATTATAATGCTTTTAAGAATTGATTTATGGATACACTTAATGATTGCTGAGATATTACATGTAAATTGTATAGAATTGGCAAGCATACTGTGATGATTGCATTTAATTTGATAAAATATCATTGCCGTGGTTAGATTTTTGGCAAAGTTATTCAGGAGAGTTACTTACAACGCTGGCAAAATTTCCCCAGGGGTTTAAAGAAATTAAAAGTTGTGTGGTTATCTTCTATGAGATAGAATCCCAACAACACAAAAGAAAAAAAAGAAGAGATCTACGACTGCCATGACAAAATTTTCCCATGAGTGCTAGCCACCAATTCTATGACGGAATTTCTCATATGCCACAACTACTATGACAAAAATGTTTCCTTTGAGTGCTAGCCCCTACTACTTAGTCAATTGTTTTCACATTCCTAACTTGTCAAAAATTGCTTCACCCTCTCAATTCATTAAAAATTTATGATTTCATTCTGAAATAAGCTTTACTTTCATTACCATTCGTTTGGGGGAGATGTAGGTACAATGTATACAGTATTGTGGTTTATGATTGGGGGAGATGTAGGTACATGTACAATGTATACATACAGTATTGTGGTTTATGATGTTTCCTACAATGTGGTATAGCTCAAACTTCATAAGATGGAACCTATAAGCATTAAGTAAACAAGAATCATTCTATAATTAAATTAAACACAGAATTAAGCCTTTTAAAGAATTGCATTTCAAAAGTATTGAATAATTATCTCATGTGTGAAGCACTTATCTGAATGTGTATAGTTTATATGTGTTAACTTTTAAGAACTGATTTGATATATATTATTCAAATAGAACTTATTTATATTACGTATCATTTTTAACTGATTTCACAATGGTTTATAAATAAAGTTCTTAACTATAAATCATTTTATATTACATCTAACATAATTTGTTTATTAAGGAAAAGGCACTGAATCTCAAGATCATCTCTATAGTGGATGTTTAAAGAATCTCCAAATCTTAGACGGCAATGGGACATACAACAATATAAACAAGCCTGAAGTGATGGGTAAAGTGGAGACAGGATGCCAGGATAAATGTTTAACAGGGAACCAGTGTAATGCTGAAACACCATGTATTAATTTCTACTCCCATGTTAAATGTGACTGTTTTGGTACTAATTTGCAGGGACCATTCTGTAATCAGTCAGGTACAAAGTAATACATGTATAACTATAGTGGATTCAAAACTTTTTTAAGGGTACTACCGGTAATTTCTTTGGACTTTGCTAGTAAAAGTGAACTGCTAGTTAAAATGTTAATCAAATGCACAAATTTCCTATAGACTTTAATGCAGAACTTGTTAAAATCATGAAATCATTTCTGTTCAGGTACTGTTAAGTTAATGTAAACATATTGTGTACAGATGTTAGCAAGTTTGAATGTGTAAAAAGAATTCCCATGCTTTTGATTCAATTTTTGCTTAATGATAATGGCTCAAATTCAATCACAGATGGTAAAATCAGCTGTTGGAAAACAGCAGTGAATTTATTGGAAGAACTTCAATTCCAATCATTCTAAATTTGCAAAGATGACAGAGTTGTCTCCCCATTATGAAAATTATAAGGCTGTCAGAGTTATCTCCCATATACATTTTCAGGTTCTACCAAAATCACACTAAGAGGCTATGAATGGATTACCTATCAACTTTATGATAAACCAAGTGACAGGGTCTTTTCAGACAAAAATAAATTCAGTTTACAGTTTAGGGTAAGTTGTAAAAAAATTATCTACCATTAAGAAAAACATTCTGCTGAGAGCATGCATTGATATAAACATTATGATCTATATACTTTCATTATGACATAAACATATAAAAATAAGAAGATGTGGTATGATTGCCAATGAGACAACTCTCCACAAGAGACCAAATGACACTGAAATTAACAACTATAGGTCACCATACGGCCTTCAACAATGAGCAAAGCCCATACCACATAGTCTGCTATAAAAAAACGAGAAAACTAACTGCCTAATTTATGTACAAAATAATGAACGAAAAACAAATATGTTACACAGCATCAAATGACAACCACTGAATTACAGACTCCTGACTTGGGACAGGTTCATACTGAATGTGGCTGGGTTAAACTCGTTTGAAGGTGCCAACCCTCCCCTAACCTGGGACAGTGGTGTAACAGTACAACATAAGAACAAGAACAAACTATAAAAATCAATTGAAAATGGTTTAACTCATCAGATAGATACAAATAGAAATACATTTAACAAAAACACAGAGTGGAGGTGGCAGGGTATTTATCCATCCCTCATCCCTAACAACAAAAAGACACCAAGTACAGATCTGAGAGTACTCGCAGTTACTGACAGCTAGTTCAAAGCCAATAAAAACTAATAAAAAAAATCATGTATCTAAGTTGATATATCTATATGATTTTTTTACAGCATGAAAGCAAATATGACACCCTCTAGTGATATATATGTCAAAGAAAAAAGTACAGATTTCATGAAGTGCAACTCATCTTAAAAATATACACCTTCTTATTGTATGTCTGAGTACCTTCAAAGACTTTGATTTGAATTGTATGTCAGTATATTGTGCAGCTTTGGAATTGCACAGACTTGCAATAGCCAATACTTGACTGTATAACACTGTAAACATTTTTAACGGAGATTTGTTACTATTCTATGGTATATCATGTATCTTGCAAATTTCATTAATACATAAAATTCTTAAATAATGTTTTGATATCTCAAGACCTGTAAAATATCTCAGTAAAATCTTAAATACATTATTAAGGATATTTGTAAGCCATGCAAAAAAGGGGGTAACACATTCAACATCACTTCCAGATGTCTTTTGTATTATTTGCATTGTTGAGTTGCTGTCTTTTGCTCTATACATCATTTGTACTTTTATTCATATATAAAAGCTTTGATATATTATTTGAAAGGACAGTTACTATGTCAACACTGGGTTCTGCCTAAAGTTGAAACCAGCCTTAGCTGATCACTTGGGCAAGGACATACAGTGAATAAACATAATTGAACATGTGTGAACCAAGTGCTTGTCTTATTTAAACAAATCTTCAGTGCTTAAAAGGGGGGTTAAGTTAAGAAATGTTTCACTGTGGGAAAAAAAGTTACTTGGCAAGTTAATTGGAATCAGTAAAAAGGGATTATGAAATATCAGTCAGATGCTATTTGATACTTTGATTACTCTATATATCTGATTTATCTGAAAATATGCTATTTAGCTGCAGAAAAATACTATAAAGGCAGTTTGTTCTGTTACAGTCAGATAGAGGCTCAGGTGTCCTGATATATGCCGTTGGTACCTACCCACATGACAGTCATGTGATTGCTTCAGTTCATGAAGGAGTGGTTACAGCCTCAGTTGGATTCCAGCAGGATGTCACATTAGAAGCTAACCTTGGTATTGCTACAGATGACTTTAGGTAAATATGGATCCATGAAAGTTTGATGGTAATGGGTACATTGTGTACTAACAAAATGGTTTGGATTAATTGGAGTTTTTACCTAAGTTTCTAATAAAACTGTGATGTGTGTTATGCATTTAAAAGTATCTTTTTCAAACTTTCCTTGAAATGTTTGTTGTTTTTGATTAATCATAAATATCTCTGACTTACTTTAGTTCTTTGAAAAAACTATAACATAGTCAACCAATAGAAAAACAATGGGATTTAAATAATATAACTGGTGTTTAATAAGTGAATAATTTTTCATACAAAAAATTCTTATGATACCAACTTTCATACCCATGACACATTTCATCAGGTATGCAGCCTTCTGACCAAAAGTTTGGTCAAATTATATGAAATGCTTAGGACCATATAAAGACAGAAATCAAAAAAAAAAACAGCCAAAAAGTTTTAAAGTTGAGTGTTGATGAAGGAAAATCCAGAACAGCCCTTGGGATGCATGAAATTATAAAAAGTTTTCATTTTTTGACTCAGAGAGTTGGAACCTCATATGTTTATACATTTTTTTAATAAATTTCTTTATTAAGTGGATGAATACATCAGAAAAAAGCACAAAAAGTCCAATGTTTGAGGGGATGGATATAAAACACTCAAATTGACTACATGTCCTTTTAATAGAACATATTACCACTACCAGTCATCTTCTTTGAAAATCAGCATTGAAAACAAATGTTTAATTGTGATTTAAATAATTGAATCAAAACTGAATTATATTGAATTAGAGATGGCATTTCATATCTTCACAAACCACTATATTCATTACCATCCCATTGTGTAGAATTTGAACAACAGATAGATCTGTGATTACACATACAGCATCATGATTTGTAATTTACACAAGACTTATATCATTTCAGTGTTTTCAGTTTTATGGTTTAACTTTTTATGATTATCTCCCCTTCCAAAAACATTACACTCCTCCTTGCATATATCAAGCAAGTGACCAATTCCATATTGATTATGAAAGTAAAGCAGGAAAGGTACATGTTGTTCACTAACATAAATCATAATCATTATAGGCAGAAGGAAGGGTAAGGCAACATTCTCATCTTCCCTGCTTCATATTGCATGTTACCCTTGCATGGTATATGTCTGCTTATAAAATCATGCTTTGATATATAAAGCATCAGTTTGCTGATTCTTTTGTATATTGTGTGAACACAAATATAGTGGCATTTTTAAAAACTTATTATAATAAAGTTATATTCACAGGAAAAAGTATTAATTATATCGTTTCATATTCAGGAACTACAGGAATTTTCACTAATGAGCGGTTTTCATTTCTACTTTGAAATGCATTAATGTAGGATCATATCTATATGAAATATTTTTTCTTTTTTGCAGTTGGAAAGCTTAAAGCATTTACATTTCACTTTATTTATTTTTTTACATTTTTATGGAGAATGTTACTCTTTTTTTCTCTTGTTTCATTCTTTTTTCAATCTTAAAACTATTTCATATTCTTTATTATTGCTTTTTACATATTAACACAGCCTAAAAAACTAATTAAACTGTGTCTGTAGGGAAGGTATTTCAATGGGGTTTAATGAATACCTTTCTTTTGTTTTGATAAGGGCCTTGTAATGTAACTATGATTGTTTTGTGTCAAGTTGTTACAAGTTCAATTGTCATTGCTGGTAGAATGAGAACAATTTTAGGGGTGTTTGCTTTGCTCCTTTTTCAACCTTTTCTTGAAAATGTGTAGCCCCTCTGGCTTTTTTTGGGCAATGCTTTGAGAAAAAAATTTACTCAACAACCATTATATGTTTCAATATGTTTAAAGAATATACATATAAATTATACTTCTGATTAAATGTTTTAAAATTCTTGTGTTTCTATTAGTTTTTCTTAATTATTGATATTAAAATTATTTCTTCCCATACATTTTATATGAAAAATACAGTGAAATCCTTTTTCATGCCTCTAACTCTAATTTTCAAAAATTTGTATCTTTTAAAAAAAAAAGTGCCCAGGCTTGTCCTTATTTTCCTTAATTTTGATTGATTATTTGTATTTAACACCACTGTAAGCACTCTTGGCTATGACATGGTGGCAAGTAATAGCTGTAGGAAGTTCGAGTGTCTGGAGAGCAGGAAAACTGGCAATCTTTAGTCAGTTGAGACTGGAGTTGCATCCTATCATTTGTCATAATATCTTCCATTAGAAATTACTTATGTATGATATTTCTGTAGAAAACATCCTGAACACTGTTTTTATTAACTTGATTCATATAACACAAAATGTTAAATGTTAGTACATTGTATTTAGTTTTAATTCAGTATTTATCTTTAATTTTCTTCATTTATATCATCTTTTGTTTATAATTGTTTCATATAATCAACATTATTATATATTATATATATATGTTCAGAGTTATAGCTCAATGTCATAACAAGTTATATATATTATTCCAGTTAAATATACATTAAAGTCACAATAACAATACCTTTCATTATTACTAGTTAATGCCACAAAAATCCAGAATGTGATACTTACTTATGCTAAACCTGTGTCGCATGAGCCTAAAATAATTGTATAAAGCTTATTCTTTAGAAGGTAGAAGTGCCATAAATCGTATTTTTGAGACTAATGGACTAAACCTTCCTTATGGCATGTGGCAATATACCTTGACCTCAATTTTATGGTTTAATAACTTCAAGGTATAGTTTCTGGTTTTAGGTCAGTGTCTCAGTTACTATGACTAATAGATCAAAAGGTCCATTTTACAGTTGTTATGAGTTAAAGAATAACTGTTAGGTGTTTTATCCATCTGAAAGAATTCACCTGTTACTTGACCTCTTTACATAGTCTAATGATCACTGTTAAGTTTTGGCCCTTTATTATTAGTAAAAGGTCAGCTATATTGGTCTGTACTATTGTTGTAAGGTGTACATATCTGTCTGACAGGAGATGTCATAATTTGACTTTTTCAATGATCAATGTTAAGTTTTTTGCACTTATGTCAATTTACCAATTACTTCGATAAATAAGCCAACTATATTTGGTAAAAAAATCTTCTGTGTACATTTCTGTCTGACAGTGGTCATCTAAATTTTGACATCATGATCTTTACTAAGTTTTAGAGCTGAGGTCAGTTTCTCAATGAATTTGAGTTGTAAGTCAACTATATTTAGTTCATAGGTAGCTGTGTGTTATGTGCATGTCTGTCTGACTTGGGTTATCATACCTAGACCCCATTTTCATGGTTCAAAGGTTATATTATAGTGTTAGAGAAATAGTTAAAATATATTTGGCCTATAGAATTATTGTAAGGTGTAAATGTCCTTCTGACAGGGATCATCTGACCTTGACCTCATTATTATGGTTCATTTATATTAAGGTTAAATTTTCTTTATAGATGTATTAAGACCTTTATCTTAAGGACTGTTGATAAATTATTCAGTTATAAAGAATTCAGCAGGCCATTTTATAGCCTGTGCACATTTTTATTCCTATTGATTTTTTTTTTTAATAAGATGTTCTTGGTAGAAAGAAAATAACAATAAATTTGAAACAACTACTTCCAAAATGTAAGATAGCATCTGGTTGAATACTTCTAATACAAATGTATTAAAAACATTTTATACAGTAGTTTTAACATATTAGTAAATGAATTTGAAAGTGTGACTTATTTTCTTTCATATTATGCATAATGAAAAAAATGTTGCTAAAGTTATTTATTGCAAGTAATTTTCTAGATTAACCTTCAAAAGAAACAGTCATTATCAAAGTTTGTACTTTCAGATGGCATAACTTGACCATTGTCCACAACAAGAATACAGTTACATTTATCCTGGATGAAGAGGTGACGGTCAGGACAACTGAATCCAGTAATTACTACCTCAGTCTTGATTCAAAAATCTTCTTTGGTGGAGGCAATAATTTTGTCATAACAAAAGGTAAGTGTATATAAGTATACTCCCACTCCGAAAGGAGGAGGGTATACTTGTTTACATCTGTCCGTGTATCCGTCGCTCTGTCTGTCTTGTAAAAATTTTCTCAGGAACTACAAATCAGAGCTTTGTGAAACCAAAATTCATGTGAGTATGCTATAATGTGTGATATATTTTCAGATTCATCGCTCATCCACTTCCTGTAACTGTAAATTCAGAAATTGTTGTGAAGTTTTTATTATTGTGAATAATGCGACTGGGTGCTAATGGCAATAATAAGAACTTGCACTCTGATAACTGATGCATATAAGTGTATGCAGATTATCCTGAAATCAAATAATAAATCTCACATTTTTGTCCTTTAAAAATCGCAATAATAAATGCACACAATAATTTCTGAATTTACAGTATCTGAATACCGGTACTTATGTATTTGTACACATAATGGCCATGTATAAAATTATTGTCACTATTTTCTCAGGATCTTCAAATCGGAGCTTCCTGAAATTTATAATCAATGTTCATACAAGCATTCTATACTGTGTGAAGTATTTTTAGATTCATCCTCATCAGCTTCCTGTTTACCTAATACTTATGTATTCTTTCAAATAATGGCTATGTATGAAACTTTGTCACATTTTTTTCAGGAACTACAAATAAAGGTTTTCTAAAATATATATCAACCTTCATGTACTTTACTATGTGATATGTTTTGCATACATCACTCATCAACTTCCTGTGTATTGTATACTTACAGGGGAGGCATCATAAGTGAACTTTAGCTCACAATTCAAATTGTTGTACCTTCAAAGTATAACCAAATAATAATTGCAAAGAAGATATTTTGAAAATAATTAGAAGTAGCTCAAGATAAAAAATTTCTGCTGCATAATCCTTGATAAGGCTTCTGGTCAGAACCCTGGACTTAAGCTATTTATAGTTATTTTGAAAATCCCCTTGGATAATGAATTTCTCTTAAATCACAGGTCTGACAGAATTTATCTTGTTAAAAAAGTGACTCCATATAATTGTAGCTGCTCCTGATCCTTTAGACTAAAAAATATCCTGCAGTTAATGAGAGTATATAATTAGTTAGTCTGCTATTTATAGTAGTAAAGCATTTATAGATATAAGAAGATGTGGTATGAGTGCCAATGAGACAACTCTCCATCCAAGTCACAATTTGTAACAGTAAACCATTATAGGTCAAAGTACAGCCTTCAACACGGAGCCGTGGCTAACACCGAACAGCAAGCTATAAAGGGGCCCAAAAATGACTAGTGTAAAACCATTCAAACAGGAAAACCAACGGTCTAATCTATATAAAAAATGAGAAACACTTATGAACCACATCAACAAACGACATCCACTGAACAACAGGTTCCTGACTTAGGACAGGTGCAAACAAATACAGCGGGTTTAAACATTTTAACAGGTGCCAACCTTCACCCTAACCTGAAATAATAGTGTAACATCACAACATAGAAAGACACACTACAAAATATCAATTGAAATGGCTTAACTCAATCAAAAGACATATTACCGAAAACAAGTAAACATACACTGATCGAATAAATTTGATCTATGACACAATGTAAATACAAAATTAATGAAAAAGGGGGGGGGGGAGATGTAAAACAATATTCATATGAAATAATTTGGTTGATTTTAATTTTGAAAAAAAAGAGTTGAAATATCAATACTTAAATCTATAAATTGATTTATGTTTCAGGCTTACAAGTTACACAGAATTTTGTTGGTTGTTTGAAGAATGTTTATGTTGACGATGTTTCTTTAGTCTATGAGATGAAGCATGGGAATGACAGAGTTATCCACAGCGGTGGTCATAAACCTTATTATGGTTGTCACAAGACAGAAGACATTCCTATATCATTTCCCAAGTCTGGAACCATGATTGTACTAGATACACCATCTAATACAGACTTACAAGTAGAGTTTGGCTTCCGCACGGTCCGTGATGTTGCCATTATATTTTATGCACAGACTATTTCAACCTTAGGATATGGCATTGGTTTCTTTGAGGTGAGTTAGGATCAAGACTGAGTAGAGAGCTGTTATGGCAAAGTAGTAATTCTGTTCATCATGTTTGTATGACTGAATTTGTGTGGTCATGGTGTAATTTGGTCTGAAATATTAACAGGTTAACTGTTATCTACTTTCTACATTTACAAAAATAATTAATACATGTATGATATCTCAATTAAGTTTTATTAAGCATTTCAAATTTTGATTGTTGAGAATTGCTTCTGGACAAGAACTTCATCATCTTGTATATGGCATGCACTTGAAAAAAATAATCTTACATACAAATTTAAATGATAACCCAAGCAGCTAGATTGGTAGAAAGATCAGACATTTTAATTCCAGTACCAATAGATTATGAAAAGCCATGATAATTTGAGATATCTATAGACAGATGTCCAGACAAGAAAAGAAACAAATACACAAAGAAATAAAGTTTGGCCTAATTAAACCCCTACAAACACTAGGGTCAAATGATGAAAACCTCTTTTTATTCACTAGCGATTTGTTTTAATCAAATTTTCTAGCACAAAATTAGATTTTCAGGAAATAAGCGGAAAGTCTTAATTTTTAATTGTATGCATATAAAATCAGGGGTTTGATTCTAGCCATTTTTATCCCCGCACATGTGAGTCGAAGTGAAAATTGTTTGAATAAACAGATATGAGAGAAGCTTATGTGAGAAAATCTTTATAACAGTACATGTGCCACTAATAATAGATTTGTGTGCTCAATATTGGCATTTTTTGTCATTTTCAGATATGGATTAGACACCACCAAGTTATTTTACAACTAGAACCATCTACTAGGAATCCTGATCTATCAAAACACATTGTCATTGATCATGTTGTCAATGACAACAAATGGCATACTCTACATCTCCATTTCACTGATAGGTAAATACATTTAAGTCATTATAGAAAATTTAGCCTCAGTTTCATTATGACAAACTTTAACCACTGACAGCAATGAATTTGCTTTGTTATTATTTCAATCAGTATCATAATATTGTTGTTAAATATTTTAGAAAACAATTTTCATGTCATGCTCTTTGCTCATTATAACATGGATGGGTAGGCTTTATGTGTCAATATTTACATTGGTGAGGTGTTTAATACTGACAAATATGTGCCTGTCATGTGAAAATGATCATAGTGCAGGACATGAAATATTATTTTGATATTATTAGACAAATAGATATTTGGATACAAGCAGACTACAGATAGCTAAGGAATTTATGGAAGCTCTGCACAAGTTTCAAATGGATTTTGTGCTATTCAGTTTTGGTTTGTTTATGTCCTGACAACAAAATTTAATATTTGAAAACATGATACTAAAAAGAAACTAAATCTTAAGAAGCACATGAAATAAATATTCTTACTCCAAACAACTTAATTGATTTCAAACCTTGCATTGAGTCTTTCATGGTTCTTGTAACAAATACTCTGTATGTATGAGCTGTAACAAAGTTATTTTGGATATTGCAATGAACTTACTGGTAGATATATGTATATTATAACAATAGATACTATTTAAACAGGTTTACCAAAATAAAGATAGATGATAGATCTAACCAGATAAATCACACAGATCTACTGGAGTTAACAGGAGAAATGGTGATTGGACATGGACCTAGGCTAGCCTATGATGGTATGATGCTTGTATTATATGGGGGAATCAGAAACTATTTTAGCAAAACAATTTTTCGAATAAAATCTATTTAACATTGAACAGCATAATTTAATTTAGTTGAATCTGTTCGTCTGCTGTGTGTCAGTAAGCCGAGATCTTTTACTTCTGATAGAAATAAATCCTTTTCTTTGACACTTTAATTGGTAAATATATTAAAGGAAATTAACCAAACTAGGGTTATTTTAAAATAACCTAAATCATATTGGGATATTGTCATCACTTGACTAAGTGAAAAAAAAAATTGCATGTCAGTAATAACTGACATGCATTCATTCTATTTTGTATAAAAAAAAAGGCTTCAGATCTTATTTATTGATATTACATCCTGTATAGAAACATAAGCCATATGCGACTGTCATACAAGTGAGAGGTTTAGCTAGCAATAAAGCTAGGTTTAATCCACCATTTTCTACATAAGGAAATGCCTGTACCAAGTCAGGAATATGACAGTTGTTTTTAATTCATTTGATGTGTTTTAGCTTTTGATTTTGCCATTTGATAAGGGACTTTCCGATTTGAATTTTATTTGGAGTTTGGTTTTGTTGTTTTACTTTTTACTGGTTCTTGACAATTTGTTTTTCAGCCAATGATGGATTTGTTGGTTGTATAAGGAATCTAGCTATACAAGACAAGGTAAAGGATGCTATCAACTTACTGCAAACAAATTCAGCAGTGTATGGTGTAATACTGGATGGTTGTCACCTAGTACCCTACTGTGAAGGTGGCCCTCATTGTGAACATGGTGGTAAATGTTTGTCAAACTGGGATGGAGTTGCATGTGATTGTTCTGACACTGCATATGAAGGACATGCATGTCATTTTGGTATGAACTAGCAGCTTTCTATGCACCATGATACCACCAAAACAAACAGTGAATTACCGTATTTAGCCGTGTATAGTACACAGTTGTGTATAATACACACACCCTTTTCATCCCTCAAAAATCTTGAAAAAAAAATAAATTTAAAAGTAAAAAAAAATTTTAAATAAAAAAAAACAAAAGTAAAAACAACAATTTTAAAAGTCTAGTTCACTGTATAAAAAAACCTTAAATAGGGAACAATTAAATCTTCATTTAAGTCTTTTGATAGATAAAAAATAATGTGTAAGACTGATTGTTCAATCAAATTGTTTTATAAAATAATTTTAAAGTCATAAACAATAAAATGGTAAAGCTTTCGTCATGTAGTTAACATTTATTAATTTTATAAAAGTAAAGTTATTAATTAAATATCCCTTTTGAAATCAATGTTTGTCTAAGTTTGTCCAAGCTGATGCACTGTTCAAATATTATAAAAGAAATAATTGGAAAGTAATAGAAAAAAGAAATAAGACCTCAAACATTTTTTTCTAAATTGATTAGCAGTAATTAAAATTAACTCTTTAATCCGAAATTTTCTTTTCATTAATCATGTTGATTTACAGCACTGCTGAGGTTATTATATTGAGCACCTGTCTAAAGTTGACATGATTACACACCCATACTTAATCCTTAATTTCATTTTAAGCTTACTCATGCAGGATGTCACACCAGTACTTTGAATATTCAATAATGAAGGAAAAAAACATTATTAACAAATATTACAAATAAAAAACGTCTTGAATATATACAATACCGAAGGAAAAAAAAATAATATTAAGAAAAATAATATAGTTGTGTATAATATGCACCCCCTCTACCAACTACATTTTTGGGGTAAAAAAGTGTGTATTATACACAACTAAATATGGTAATTTTAGAAACCTACAAGAAGATGTTTTATTTCCATTAAATGGGCTCACAAGGAGCATAATACAATACAAGACATTAATAAGACAATAACAATAAGAAACAACAATAGTCTAGTATACATACCAAGAAAAGAAAAAGCAGTGTGAACATCATGAACTACACACATATATAGATATATATAAATATATGTTCAACAGTGTTTCCCTCCTTCTCAGGTACAAATGTACACCAATATTTAAAAAAAATGGGTACAAAAAAACTGCTTTCTATTTAAGGCTTTTTTTCACACAGATTTGGTGAAAATATGATCAGAAATTTACTGTAAGACCTCTAAGGTTGATAATGGTATAGAAATATGGTCACCTGGATTTCCTGCTCATATTTGAGACGACCTGTTGTAAGGCAACACTTCTACCTTTGCCCAATTTACTCTGAATTTCCAGGAACAGTTCAAATTTCATGCCCTTCGTCCCGATCAAATTATTATGTATAAAATATTTGCCACTGGACATCAAGCCAGCAAAATCAATCAATCTACCTTTTTATTGGAAACATAAATTTTCAAGATATTTATTTTGAAAATGCCTATTTGGATGTACACCAGCAACAATCTTATTCTGAAAAAAGAACATAGGTTAATATGACAGTGCCTTATAGGTAATTCCCATCTTTATAATTGTTCAGAGGAGTTCAACAATGAGCTAAAGAGTCAATTAATAAACAGATTTGTTGCAATGCTTTAATCTTCATTAATAACCATTTCATACATTTTATAAAATTACATTTGCAGAGGGCAGAAGTATTAAATTGAGATCTTTCTTTCTTTATATATATATTTAAATTTCCTGAAATATACTTATTTTTTGTTGTTAGCAAAATACAGAAGATCTTGTGACGATTACTACCAAGCTGGTTATAAACAGTCTGGAGCATACCAGATTGATTTGGACAGTACTGGTCCCCTTCAACCTGTTTATGTTTGGTGTGAGATGGAGTACCAGTATCAAGGAGAAAAATATGGCATGACTAAAATAGATCATAATTTTATACCAGATACACGGGTCAGAGGCAAAGGATTGTATGATATGAGAAAATTATTATCATATAGGTAGGAATTTTTAACCATTTGTATTTTTCACATTGGGGTCAAGATAATCAAAGAAAAACCAATTTTTGTGGATAAAGGTAAACCTTGAATTCAAAATTTCAACAAAGTGCAAATTTTCTTTAGGCTTGTATGTGGACTTAGGCAAAACCAAAAAATAAATAAAATTTAACTTCAATCCACGAAAATCAGTACCCATAAAAATTAATGAATCCACAGTATTATGTATTTTAAAAGGAACGTCAATCCAAACAAACGATTAGCTCTACTGCAAAACTTTACCATTTACCAAAAAGAATATACCACTTATTTTACCCCACTCACAGAGGGGATTGAAACTGCAATCACCGAGTTTGTCCATCAGTCTGTCCCTTTGTTCATCCCTACATAACTTTTGTTGTTACATAGTTTCTTTGTTAAGGAATGATTGAAAATTAATTTGGAACTTTATTATGATGAGTTGTAGTGTGTAAGTGATTGTCAGATCTGCCAGGCGGTCACTTCTTTGACCATTATTGTTGAAACAAAAAAGACTTATTACAATACATTTATATATAAATCAATACAACTTATTAAAGAAGCTTTTGTAACATGGGAGTTAATGTCATATTTCATAGAGAAATGACAAGACAAGAACTAGTAGAGTTAACAGAATCATCTATTTGGTGTGAACAGTTAGTGGATTATGATTGTTACAGAGCTCCATTAGAGTAAGTCAAAAGTCTTTATGTGCACAAAATAACTATATTTTGATATGGTGTATGCATTGGTACAGTTATGGTCAAAATTATTTACCTAATCAAAAGTTATATTTCACACAAATGGAAAAAAGAAAACTAAATCCGCTGTTGCAACTTTGAAAAGTAAAATCGTACTTTTAATTTTGCTAATATTTCTTTTTTTAATAGAATCATATTTAAAATCCATCAGTCATCCTTTGTTGGTTCTTAACATTGAGTGGTTAGTTATTTTACGTGCTTACTCAGGATGACAGATATGTTGTTCTACATAGAATTGGACTATGGAAATGGTCACTTAATCATCATATATTCTGCCTCATCTTACCCCATTATCCACATCTTCATATCACAATAATGTGTTAATATATGCAATACAATCAATTTCTTATCATTTTTCTGTTTTACTAATTTGTAGCAAAAAAATTATCATAATTCAAAATAAATATAAGACAATAAAATAATTAGTCAGAAGAATGCTAAATGATCTTTATTACTTTTCATTAACAAAAAATGTATATCAAATATTCTCTTTCATTTCAGACTAGGGAAATCTACAATATTTCAATCAGCGAGAGGTGAAATATTAGAACTTCGTTATAATACTGATGCTGACAGCTTATGTTCCTGTAGAAAGGGAACCTGTCCTCAGAATAGATGTCAATGTGATAAAGGTAAACATGGCTTTCACATTCATGCATTTTCCTGTAAATTTCTAATGTGACAATGCTTATATTATATCACAGTAAGAGTTGATTGTTCAATGATGTAGTATGCTGATTTACCTCAGGTCAACCATCATAACTCATTCTTAAATAGGAATTCGAAATTGGTCTATGAATAAATGAATTGAACATTTCAAAGATATATAGACAACAACTCCTCAACATAATTTTAGCTGTCCATATAAAAATCATTCAGTTTTGAAAATATATGATACACCTAACAAAAATGGCTACATAATTATATTTTTTTATGCCCCCGCTGCAATGGAGGGGACATTAAGTGTTACCCTTGTCTGTCTGTACGTGCCCCTTTACAAATGGAAAAATTGCTGAATTTTTTCATGTCCGTTCTTTAACTGAAGTTTGCCTCCACAAAATGTTATGAATCTCATACACAATGCTTGTTACTGCAAAACTCAGATCAAATTCTAATTTGGGTGGCTTCACTTTTACAGTTCTTGAGTTATATTCCTTTATAACGTTATATGCAAGCGGGGGCATCATCTGTCCCATGCACACATTCTCCATTTATTTCAACTCTGTGATAGACGTATGTAATGAATAAGCATTAAATTGGCAATTCAAAGGTAAAACCTCTGTACTTTTAAATTACACTGTGCAGTCTCAATGTCATTATGAAATAATCATTCAACCTCTGTCCTGATAAACCATGTTGTGCAGTCTCAATTCCTTCATGACTGACATCTCAATTAATAATGGTGTAAAACAATGTATTTCTTATAAAGCACTGAAATAGTGAATTCATTTTAAAATGCTTGCTGAAAGATAATTGCATGTCATTTTTCTGCAAATCATTGAGATACTTATTTATATGCATGTATGGATTTAACCTGTGAAATGTGTTTACAAATTAAATGGTTTACATCTTTCCCCTTCATGTGATACTATATTAAATAATTGTTTTGCCAATCACTTGATTTTCATATTTGAACCAGCAGTTTCTGGAAATATAACTATTTTTATGATAATGCAGATAATGTTATATTTTTAGGTCATGCCCAGTGGGAAAAAGACAGTGGATACATTAGATATAAACAGCATTTACCGATTACTGAGTTGAGGATATACCAGTCAAAGTCTCCAGCACCACAGACCAGTGCCAACTTAAGTTTGGGTCCTCTTAAATGCTGGGGAGAAGGTAAGTCTTTGTTTATTGTAAATGTAAAAAGGAGTGAGAATTAAAGAGAACTTAAATTAAAGACTTGTGTTTCGACTGATTATTAATTTTCAGATTACATAATTTGCAAGATGCATACCAGGGTTTCCGCTGGCGGTCGCGAAAAAATAAAAATTGTGGCGATTAAAATTTATTTGGCTAAAGACTTTGGTTAAAAAAATATAATGGTTTGTTGTTCATCTTGTTTATAATTTTTCGGGTTTATCAAACTTTTTCCTTGATCAGACAATACTGGGATTTCACCTTGAACTGGTCACATGTTACGATTTTTACAAAATCAATAACCAGCTGATTGCATTTTTAAAAGATAGCTATCAGCAACAATGGACTAATTAATAAAGGTGTTGATTGTAATGTTTAATGAAATTGTGTGGTTAAATGGCTTCACATGTCACATAAAGGATTTTTTCATTCAACTAGACGGGAAGTATCCGATGATCCCATGTTCATAGAAGTCAAATATGATGATTTCAGGATTTATATTGCAATTTTACAGTATCTTTTAAAGAATAAATGTTAATAATGAGTGTTTATTTACTCAGGTGAAAGAAATATAACGTTCATTGAAGATTAAAAAAATAGATATGACGAATTATAATAGATTAGACAACCATGCTGCAAACTGAAATTTTTGTTGGCAAGTAGGAAAATTAAAGGTTCATTTGGACCCTTTGCCTAAAATGGCTGTGTTTTCACCTCAAAATTTACAGACTAACCTGTGCATCTGGAAACGTTTTAAGGCATGGCATACTCTAGATAAATAAAATACAAATTCATTTCATGTTTTAGAAAATTTAAAACTTAACTGGATTTTACTGTGCACTTTTTTCGTCACTGCAGATGATGATAAAATTAATAAACAGTTGAGTTTTACTTGATATGGTTCATTCAGGTACACAGTTTAAATCACCAATTATTGTCAGGTATCAAGTGGCACCTTCTGGAGGAACAAAAAAAGTGCACTGCAAAATCCAGTTAAGTTTTTAATTTTCTAAAACATAAACTGTATTTGAATTTTATTTATCTGGAGCATGCTATGCCTTAAAATTTTCCATATAGATAGGTTTGTTTGTTGTGAAAATGCATCCATTTTAGCCAAAGGGTCCACATGAACCTTAAACCGAAAATATGTTTATGTAAGTTGGCGAAAAAAAAAATTGTTAGTGGCGAAAAAAAAATTGTTTTGGCGAAAAAGAAAATTGACTCAGGGGAAACCCTGATGCAGACAATGACGGACTGTTAGAATAAAATCTGGTAATAAGATAGGACCAGCCTGTCTATTGTATTGTTATTATTTTTCATTACAGCTCTCAGTAAAGTTGCTAATGCAGTGACCTTTAAAAGGTCATCTGCTTATCTACACCTCAGATCCCCATGGAGATCCTCAAACCTACAGTTTATGTTTAGAACTCACCAGACTACAGCTTTGTTGTTAAACCAAACCCATACATCAGACAACTCCAACAGTTTGGTTATAGCTCTTATATCAGGTTATATATTTTAGATCATAGTTTCCCAATTGAATTTTTGTATGCCCTTTTTTTTTTTAAATATTTTGATATAAAAGGTAAATTCTATCATAAAATTGGAAACATGGAAGGTGTAGATTGGATTTGATATCTTTTGTAAGGACTTTTCATTTACAAATTATTTTATTTTTTTTGGACTTTGTTAATTTGTAATTAAAAAATAAAACATGTTTAGTGAGATTGTCAGAGATGTTGAATTAAATTAATGATGTAGAATAATTAAAGAATATAGTCCAAGACAAAGTATCATATATATACTAAATAGTTAGTAGTTAATTGTATAATTTATAATTACAGAGAAAGCTGTGCAATTTTCCGTCAGAATCAACAACAAAACACTTGAAGATATAATACAGTTTGATATGACTATCGGTGATGGGAAATGGCATTATGTTGCCATAGAAATGGATACACATAATATAAGATATACTGTTGATGTGAAGAGACAAATATTAGATATGCCTGGTAAACAGATACCTAGTTTCAACGGTAGTTTGTATGTTGGAGGCTACATCAAGTAAGTTTGTCACAAGTGTTTTTTTAGTGTTACAAATGGTAAAGTTTTTTTTAATTTTTTTTTATTATAATTATAAAAAACTATTTTTCATTGATCCTCTATGGTTGATATCTTAGATTTTGTTTGTGATATTATGTATATGTAAATCTATTCTAATTAACAAATACTGTAAATTCAGAAATTATGGCGAGGTTTATATTAATACAAATAATGTGAATACTTGAGTTTTGCAGTAATAAGAACTCTCATTCTGATATCTAGTACATATATCTGTATGTAGCTTTTCCTGAAATCGCAATGATGAAACTCGCATTTTTGTTTATTCTTCAAATATCGCAATAATAAATGCATGCAATAATTTCTGAATTTACAGTAGTTTATAAAAATGATTTCTTTTTTTCACAAGTACATAATAAATCCTATGTAAAATGCCTTTTTTTGCAATGGAGACTCAATGATCAAAATCACAAGTTTTAACATAACTTAATTGTGATGAGAACATAAATACAGTTATTATTAAGATGGAGTTGTGAATTTGATACATTGATATAAAATAAGAAGACAGATGTAAGCAACTATAGGTCAACATATGCCCTTCAATAATGAGTGAAACCCATACCACAAAGCAAGCCTTAAAAAGCCATGATATGACAAAATGTCAGACAAGAAAACCAATAGCCTAATTTATGTACAAAACAACAAATGAAAAATTAATACGATATACAGCAATAAATGGCATTTGCCTATGAAACACAGTTTCTTGTAACTAGCTGTTTTATTAAAGTTCTATACACCTTATCGCTATTTGTCCGCCATTACTGGACATCACAAAGGTTCCCCTAAAATTTTGACGTCATAATACAAAATATATGACGCCACAATGGAAAAGTGATTGTTGTATGACGTCAGTAGTTCAAGCGGGGGAGATACTCGGGTCAACCAGGACAGATTTCCAAATAGCGATAAGGTGTATTGTACTTGATGACAGTTTTCTATGATTTACAATTTTAGTTTAAACATTGTTATTTTCCAATTTTTCAGCGAGAATGTCATGCCAGGACTTAAAGGTTGTTTGAGAGGGTTCCATTATAATGAAAAGGATATAGATCTATCTAAAATGACTGATCCAAGGTATAAATGTAAAATTTCAATTAAAAATTTGCACAATGTAAATGTTATTGTTTTGTGAAAAAGGGTTAATACTGACCCTGAATTCCCATACTCAGAAAATTAAAAAATCTTCTTTTTTTTTCCGGGTAGATCCTGTAGGAGAATTTTGTTACTGTTTGATATCTTGTATTTTGTACTTATTTATAAATGTATATAAAAGTAAATGTGTGGTATACATCAATGAGACAGACACCTAGTTTCAAGTTTTCAAGTTTATATTTCTCAAAGACCAAACAGGGTATGTGAATAGTAACAAACAAATTAATATTCATTATATAACAAAGTAATGCAGAAAACATTATATCCATTCATTAACATTTATACATGTATGAGAAGTCATAACTTTTAAGGAATACAGCCAAATTGAAACAGACATAGTATGTGTTTGTAACAGTATTAGTTAACAACTGATTATGTACAGTTTTACAAAAATTAACAATCTTAAAAATTACATTGTAAGAGTCAGAATTAAACAACTCATAAAAAATTTTCAGAAATTATGTTTGGTAATGAGAATTTATTTACCGGTAGCGTATTTTATTTACAGTATACCAGAAGTGAGTGCTGGTTGTACAGCATCATGTGAGAGTAAACCATGTCAGAACCAAGCCAAATGTATAGAACACTGGGGCAGTTATACATGTATCTGTACCAATAAATGGGCTCACTGGGGAGATAGCTGTGAACGAAGTAAGTACTGTAACCAGTGGTGGATTCAGAGGGGATAGGTATAGAGGGTATACTTCTCCCCTTTTGATTGAAAAATATAGATTTTTTATAGCATAAAATCGTCCCAAACTAATTGTTTTTCCCATCTCTCCGCTAGGCTATTTATATTCAGTTTTTCTGGAAATACACCACTTCTTTCAAAAATCCTGGATCTGCCCCCAGAAAACCAACAGTTGTTGGCATGATAAAATTATCAAGAGGTCTACATATGGTCTTAAAAAATCAGCCAGTGTTCTAAGTGTAAATGGTGAAAGGGAATAGTCAATTGTGAAATAATTCAGCACAAATGACCTATGAACTGTCAATATGACCACATGAATCTATTAACAAAAAAACATTAAGAGGCATGAACAAAATCTTATGAAGGTTCCAATTTGTAAACAGGCACATATGAATTTTTTCTCATTTCAACAGGACTCTGTTTACCAGTTCGAGGATATATTTGCAATAAAAAAATATTTTTACAATAAATATAATACAAACCAAACCATCATTAAAGCTTTCCTTTGATAAACATATACTTTAAATGATATATTGCCTTCTTTTTTTCAGACATAAATAAAGACCAAATATCATTTGACGGAACTGCTACGTCATTTTTGGACCTGGAAGGATTCAAGGGAGATAATTTGTTAGATTCTACCATAATCCTCAGCTTTAGAACTTACGACAGCAGAGCCATACTACTTTATATCCATGATGCAATGAATAACTTCCTTCAGCTGGAACTAGAGAAAGGAGACAGACTTAAACTGAGTTTTAATCATTTTAAAACTATTGTATCTGAGTCTCTTATTTATAATAGTGAGTATAAATCTTTTGACAGTCCAGTTAACTATTTTTCTAGTGTATTTTTATGTTTCCTGATTGAGTTATACCTTTTATAGCTCACCTGGCCGAAAGTCCAAGTGAGCTTTTCTCATCACTTGGCATCCGGTGTTAACTTTTACATAAATCTTCTCCTCTGAAACTACTGGGCCAAATTTTATCAAACTTGGCCACAATCATTATTGGGGTATCTAGTTTGAAATTGTGTCTGATGACCCAGCCTGCCAACCAAGATGGCAGACATGGCTAAAAATAGAAGATTTGGGTAAACGTCAAGCTTTGTCTATTATCTTGAAAACTGCTATGAATAGAGAAAATCTGACAGGGGCAGAAATGTTGAAATCTACCTGCTGTCCAAATTGTCAGACGACTTTTTATAGGAGTTATTGACCTTAAATCTCAAATTTTACCAATTTTTATCATTTTTATACGACCGCAAAAAAATTTTGTGGTCGTATATTGGTATGACGTTGGCGTTGTCGTCTTCCGGCGTCGGCGTCGTCGTCCGAAGACACATTGGTTTTCGCACTCTAACTTTAGTTTAAGTGAATGGATCTCTATGAAATTTTACCATAAGGTTCAATACCACAAAAGGAAGGTGGGGATTGATTTTGGGGGTTATGGTTCCAACAGTTAAGGAAGAAGGGGCCAAAAATAAGCATTTTTGTAACTTCCAGACATAACTTGTGTGTTAGTGTATGGATCTCTCCGACATTGTACCACAAGGTTCCATATCACAAAGGGAATGCTGGGATTGATTTTGGGGGTAATTGCCTCCAAATTTTACGAATTAGGGGCTAAAAAGGGGCAAAAAACAAGCATTTTTCTAGTTTCATGACTATAACTTGTGTGTAAGTGTATGGATCTCTCTGACATTGTACCACAAGGTTCCATATCACAAAGGGAATGCTTGGATTGATTTTTGGGGTAATTGCCTCAAAATTTTAGGAATTAGGGGCCAAAAAGGGGCAAAAAACAAGCATTTTTCTAGTTTCATGACAATAACTTGTGTGTAAGTGTATGGATCTTTATGAAATTGTACTACAAGGTTCCATATCACAAAGGGAAAGCTGGAATTGAGTTTGGGGGTAATTGCCCAAAACGTTAAGGAATAAGGGGCCAAAAAGGGGCCAAAAATAAGCATTTTCTAGTTTCCAGACAATTACATGTGTTCAAGTGTATGGATCTCTCTGAAATTGTACTGCAAGGTACCATACCACAAAGGAAAGGCTGGGATTGATTTTGGGGGTAATTGCCTCAAAATTTTAGGAATTAGGGGCCAAAAAAGAGGCAAAAAACAAGCATTTTTCTAGTTTCAGGACAATAACTTGTGTGTCAGTGTATGAATCTTTATGAAATTGTACTACAAGGTTCCATATCAGAAAGGGAAAGCTGAGTTTGAGTTTGGGGGTATTTGCCCTAAACGTTTAGGAATTTGTGGCCAAAAAGGGGCAAAAAAAACAAGCATTTTTCTAGTTTCCAGACAATAACGTGTGTTCAAGTGTATGGATCTCTCTGAAATTGTACTGCAAGGTACCATACCACAAAGGGAAGGTTGGGATTGAGTTTTGGGGTGATGAATCATAAGGGGGTTCAAAAAATTTTGGGGGAGGGATTTTTTTTTTCCTTTTTTTTTCTTTAAAATTTTCCAATTTAAAAAAACCTATGCTGTGTCAAATATTTTATCACAATCCAAATTCAGTGTGTATCAAGCTTGAATGTTGTGTCCATACTTACCCCAACTGTTCAGGGTTCGACCTCTGCGGTCGTATCAAGCTGCGCTCAGCGGAGCATTTTATTGCTCATTATTATGAAAACTATTATAGATAGAGAGAAATTGTATCAGGAAAAGTGATCAGCAAGACAAGATCTACAAAAAAGTCAACATGGCCGAAATTGTCATTTGCTGCCTTATTGGAGTTATTGCCCTTTAATGATGATTTTTAACAATGTTTTGCATTTTGACCTAATATCTCACAAAAATCTTCTCCTCTGAAACTACTGGACCAAATTTTACCAAACTTAGCCACACTCATTATTGGGTTAATTTTTTATGCCCCCGCCGTAGCGGAGGGGGCATTAAGTTTTACCCTTGTACGTACTTACGAGTACGTCCCAAAGTTGGTTTCCATTCTCTAGTTTTAGTTTGCCTCAACCAAATGTTATGAAACTTAAACACACTGCTTATTACCACAAAACACAGATCAAATTTGAATTTTGGTGGCATCACTGTAACCGTTCTGGAGTTATGCCCCTTTACAAATGGAAAAATTGCTGAATTTTTCGTTTCCGTTCTCTAACTTAAGTTAGCCTCAACTAAATGTTATGAAACTTATACACAGTGCTTATTACCACAAAATACAGATCAAGTTTGAATTTTGGTGGTGTCTCTTTTACTGTTCTAGAGTTATGCCCCTTTACAAATGGAAAAGTTTTGTTCTCTAACTAAAGTTTGCCTCAACCAAATGTTATGAAACTTACTTATTACCACAAAACTCAAATCAAGGACAGATTTGGGTAGCGTCACTTTTACCGTTCTTCAGTTATGCCCCTTTATAAATTTATATGACATGCAAGAGGAGGCATCATCGGTGTCCAAGGACACATTCCCCATTTATTTAAAAATGTGTCCGATGACCCGGCCTGCCAACCAAGATGGCCGACATGGCTAAAAACAGAATATAGAGTAAACTGCAAGCTTTGTCTTTTATCTTGAAAACCACTATGACATATTGATTCTTTCCACAAGATAATGATTTTGTTGGTTCAATGTCCAGTGACAAATATTTCATGCATAGCTGGGATGATACATGAATAAAAGATGAAACAATTGTTTTTATGGTCATATCATAGTGAACTGTGTAAATTCCTTTGTTTTGTGAAACATAAGTGTGAGAAAACTGCTTATGACAAATATATTTGATTTTTTAAAAAAGCTGGAGGATACAACTTAACTTATTTGTTTTCTGATTTTAGGTTTCAATGATGGAGAATGGAAACAGATTGTAATTCAAGAACGGATAAATAAAAATAATTTAGCTGTGACCAAAATGTTTGTCAACTCCCCAGATAATATGGTTATAGTACCGTACAGTCGCCTCAAATTACCAACATATTCTTCAGCTCCATTTAAAAGATATGGTAAGTTTATTTGGTAAATTGTCAATCCTGTTTGAACAAAATATCAAGATAGATCTGCCATGACATACCAGTTGTAAAATTACATCTTTCAATTTTTTAACTTAAACTTAACAGCTAACAGAACAACATTGGGGTAGGTTTACTTTGTAAACCATTATTATTTTCCATATAATACTGTAAATTTAGAAATTATTGCAATTTTTGAAGAATGAACTATAATGCAAGATTTTAGAAAAATCTGCATACATATATATGTATCAGATATCAAATGTGAGTTCTTATTATTGCAATACTCATCCAGTGGAATTAATCGCATTAGGGAGATACCATTTGATTTTTTTTTTTTGGGGGGGGGGGGGGGCTAGGATGAAATTTGAAAAAAAAGGCAGGACAGGAGTTTTGATAAAAAAAAGAGGCAGGATGAGCAACTTGGCCAAAAAAAAAGGCAGGATGACAATTTATGTAAAAAAAAGTCAGGATAAACTAATAAAAAAGGCAGGACCGAATAGAGTGAACAACTAAAAAAAAAATGCTGGACAAAATTTTTCATCCTAGCCCCCCATAAAAATCAAATGGTACCTCCCTTAATAAAAACCTCACAATAATTTCTTAAATTTCAGTTTTGAACTGCATCTTTATGCACTATTTAATTAATTTTTCAAACAGTTGACTTTGTAGTCCTGTTTATGAAGTGATTGATAAGAACATTTACAAGCAAAAACCAAAAAAAAAGATCTTGATAAGACATACTTAAAACTAAATAAAAACTTTATACATGCTTATTTTTTAAATTTTATAATTATAGAAACTGTAAGACCACCAAGATCACCGGGTGTAACCAATACATACATGAGTGAATACTATCGATTGTTTGTTGGTGGTACTCTGGAAAATACATCTGATATAAATCAATTATCAGGTTGCATCAGAGGATTGAAAATTGGAGATAAAGTCTTCTCCTTACAACAAGAGGCTCACCATAACCCAGGTTTGTTTTATGTAGTGCTTAAGATTTTTTGTATATTTACAGAAATTGGTGTTGATGTCAGATCATTGGTAGTCACTGATAAATTTTTTTACAACAGTTTTAGACTGTATGATAACCTCAAGATGTCTTTGGCCAAATTACATGTTAATAAATTTCCTTACAAAACTATTAGTTTTTAAATTCCTACTGTTTTTTTTTCTTTTTAAATTGAGAAATTTTTCATGTGGCTTTACTAAGTCTTTACTTATGTCTACAATGTAGCAAAGACATTTTTTATTGAATAACTATATAAGATATGGGTTTTGCTAATTGTTGAAGGCTGTATGGTGACCTATAGACTAGTTTTTCACATCCTCATCCTTTGGTTTCTTTTGGATGGTTGTCTCATTGGAAATCTTACCACATCTCCTTGTTGTTATATAAATTCTGTTCATTTTTTATTTAGCTGTGGCTGCCATGTGTGGGAGTGGATGTTCTTCAAGTCCATGTAAACATAATGGTAAATGTATAGAGAAATGGGACCATAATAAGTTTTATTGTGACTGTGCAAAGACAAATTATGCAGGAGATCAATGCCAAATGGGTAAGCTGAAAATTACATATGTAAAAAATAATACAAATACAAATGAAAATTTCTAAGCATATGTTTCATGTTAATGAGCAATTAAGGAAATGCAATATCTTATAAGAAAAAGAAAAGTTGCTTTGAAAAGTGATTAATTGGTTGATTGATTGTTACTGTTTTACATCACTTTCAACACTCTTAGCGATATCATGGGGGCCAGTTTTAATTATTGGAGGAAGTCATGAGTATCCAGAAAGATCCACCAACCTTCAGCAGGAAAACTGGCTGAGTCTAACCATCTACCACCAACAGGATTCACAGTCTCAGTGTTGACAGTCTAACCATCTACCACCAACAGGGTTCACAATCTCAGTGTTGACAGTCTAACCATCTACCACCAACAGGGTTCACAATCTCAGTGTTGACAGTCTAACCATCTTCCACCAACAGGGTTCACAATCTCAAGGTTTACAGTCTAACCATCTACCACCAACAGGGTTCACAGTCTCAGTGTTGACAGGCTAACCATCTACCACCAACAGGATTCACAATCTCTGTTGACAGGCTAACCATCTTCCACCAAGAGGGTTCACAATCTCAGTGTTGACAGTTTAACCATCTACCACCAAGAGGGTTCACAATATCAGTGTTAACAGTCTAACCATCTACCACCAAGAGGGTTCACAATCTCAGTGTTGACAGTCTAACCATCTACCACCAACAGGATTCACAATCTCAGTGTTAACAGTCTAACCATCTACCACCAACAGGGTTCACAATCTCAGTGTTGACAGTTTAACCATCTACCACCAAGAGGGTTCACAATCTCAGTGTTGACAGTCTAACCATCTACCACCAACAGGATTCACAATCTCAGTGTTAACAGTCTAACCATCTACCACCAAGAGGGTTCACAATCTCAGTGTTGACAGTTTAACCATCTACCACCAACAGGGTTCACAATCTCAGTGTTGACAGTCTAACCATCTACCACCAACAGGATTCACAATCTCAGTGTTAACAGTCTAACCATCTACCACCAAGAGGGTTCACAATCTCAGTGTTGACAGTTTAACCATCTACCACCAACAGGGTTCATAATCTCAGTGTTGACAGTCTAACCATCTACCACCAACAGGGTTCACAATCTCAGTGTTGACAGGCTAACCATCTTCCACCAACAGGGTTCGCATCTCAGTGTTGACAGGCTAACCATCTACCACCAACAGGGTTCACAATCTCAGTGTTGACAGGCTAACCATCTACCACTAACAGGGTACACAATCTCAGTGTTGACAGTCTAACCATCTTCCACCAACAGGGTTCGCATCTCAGTGTTGACAGGCTAACCATCTACCACCAACAGGGTTCACAATCTCAGTGTTGACAGGCTAACCATCTACCACCAACAGGATTCACAATCTCAGTGTTGACAGGCTAACCATCTTCCACCAACAGGGTTCACATCTCAGTGTTGACAGTCTAACCATCTACCACCAACAGGATTCACAATCTCAGTGTTAACAGTCTAACCATCTTCCACCAAGAGGGTTCACAATCTCAGTGTTGACAGTTTAACCATCTACCACCAAGAGGGTTCACAATCTCAGTGTTGACAGTCTAACCATCTACCACCAACAGGATTCACAATCTCAGTGTTAACAGTCTAACCATCTACCACCAAGAGTGTTCACAATATCAGTGTTGACAGTTTAACCATCTACCACCAAGAGGGTTCACAATCTCAGTGTTGACAGTCTAACCATCTACCACCAACAGGATTCACAATCTCAGTGTTAACAGTCTAACCATCTACCACCAAGAGTGTTCACAATATCAGTATTGACAGTTTAACCATCTACCACCAACAGGGTTCACAATCTCAGTGTTGACAGTCTAACCATCTACCACCAACAGGATTCACAATCTCAGTGTTAACAGTCTAACCATCTACCACCAAGAGGGTTCACAATCTCAGTGTTGACAGTTTAACCATCTACCACCAACAGGGTTCACAATCTCAGTGTTGACAGTCTAACCATCTACCACCAACAGGGTTCACAATCTCAGTGTTGACAGGCTAACCATCTTCCACCAACAGGGTTCGCATCTCAGTGTTGACAGGCTAACCATCTACCACCAAGAGGGTTCACAATCTCAGTGTTGACAGGCTAACCATCTACCACTAACAGGGTTCATAATCTCAGTGTTGACAGTCTAACCATCTACCACCAAGAGGGTTCGCATCTCAGTGTTGACAGTTTAACCATCTACCACCAAGAGGGTTCACAATCTCAGTGTTGACAGGCTAACCATCTACCACCAACAGGATTCACAATCTCAGTGTTGACAGGCTAACCATCTACCACCAACAGGGTTCACAATCTCAGTGTTGACAGGCTAACCATCTACAACCAACAGGATTCACAATCTCAGTGTTGACAGTTTAACCATCTACCACCAACAGGATTCACAATCTCAGTGTTGACAGGCTAACCATCTTCCACCAACAGGGTTCGCATCTCAGTGTTGACAGGCTAACCATCTACCACCAACAGGGTTCACAATCTCAGTGTTGACAGGCTAACCATCTACCACCAACAGGGTTCACAATCTCAGTGTTGACAGTTTAACCATCTACCACCAACAGGGTTCACAGTCTCAGTGTTTACAGGCTAACCATTAACCACCAACAGGATTCACAATCTCAGTGTTGACAGGCTAACCATCTACCACCAACAGGGTTCACAATCTCAGTGTTGACAGTTTAACCATCTACCACCAACAGGATTCACAATCTCTGTTGACAGGCTAACCATCTTCCACCAACAGGATTCACAATCTCTGTTGACAGGCTAACCATCTTCCACCAACAGGATTCACAATCTCAGTGTTGACTGTTTAACCATCTACCACCAAAAGGGTTCACAATCTCAGTGTTGACAGTCTTACCATCTACCACCAACCGGATTCACAATCTCAGTGTTGACAGGCTAACCATCTACCACCAACTGTCAACAGGATTCACAATCTCAGTGTTGACAGGCTAACCATCTACCGCCAACAGGGTTCACATCTCAGTGTTGACAGGCTAACCATCTACCACCAACAGGGTTCACAATCTCAGTGTTGACAGGCTAACCATCTACCACCAACAGGATTCACAATCTCTGTGTTGACAGTTTAACCATCTACCACCAACAGGATTCTCAATCTCAGTGTTGACAGGCTAACCATCTACCACCAACAGGGTTCACAATCTCAGTGTTGCCAGTCTAACCATCTACCACCAACAGGATTCACAATCTCAGTGTTGACAGTTTAACCATCTACCACCAACAGGGTTCACAATCTCAGTGTTGACAGTTTAACCATCTACCACCAGCAGGGTTCACATCTCAGTGTTGACAGTCTAACCATCTACCACCAACAGGTTTCACAATCTCAGTGTTGACAGTTTAACCATCTACCACCAACAGGGTTCACATCTCAGTGTTAACAGTGTAACCATCTACTACCACCAACAGGGTTCACAATCTCAAGGTTGACAGTCTAACCATCTACCACCAACATGGTTCACAATCTCAGTGTTGACAGGCTAACCATCTACCACCAACAGGATTCACAACCTCTGTTGACAGTCTAACCATCTTCCACCAACAGGGTTCACAATCTCAGTGTTGACAGTTTAACCATCTACCACCAACAGGGTTCACATCTCAGTGTTGACAGTTTAACCATCCACCACCAACAGGGTTCACAATCTCAAGGTTGACAGTCTAACCATCTACCACCAACAGGATTCACAATCTCAGTGTTAACAGGCTAACCATCTACCACCAACAGGGTTCACATCTCAGTGTTGACAGTCTAACCATCTACCACCAACAGGGTTCACATCTCAGTGTTGACAGTTTAACCATCTACCACCAACAGGGTTCACAATCTCAAGGTTGACAGTCTAACCATCTACCACCAACAGGATTCACAATCTCAGTGTTAACAGGCTAACCATCTACCACCAACAGGGTTCACATCTCAGTGTTGACAGTCTAACCATCTACCACCAACAGGGTTCACATCTCAGTGTTGACAGTTTAACCATCTACCACCAACAGGGTTCACAATCTCAAGGTTGACAGTCTAACCATCTACCACCAACAGGATTCACAATCTCAGTGTTAACAGGCTAACCATCTACCACCAACAGGGTTCACATCTCAGTGTTGACAGGCTAACCATCTACCACCAACAGGGTTCACAATCTCAGTGTTGACAGGCTACCCATCTACCACCAACAGGGTTCACATCTCAGTGTTGACAGTTTAACCATCTACCACCAACAGGGTTCACAATCTCAGTGTTGACAGTCTAACCATCTACCACCAACAGGGTTCACATCTCAGTGTTGACAGGCTAACCATCTACCACCAACAGGATTCACAATCTCAGTGTTGACAGTCTAACCATCTACCACCAACAGGGTTCACATCTCAGTGTTGACAGTCTAACCATCTACCACCAACAGGGTTCACAATCTCAGTGTTTACAGTTTAACCATCTACCACCAACAGGGTTCACAATCTCAGTGTTGACAGGCTAACCATCTACCACCAACAGAGTTCATATCTCAGTGTTGACAGTCTAACCATCTACCACCAACAGGGTTCACAATCTCAATGTCAGGCTTCAGGTCATTGTAGATGGACTACTTAGATCATTCAGTCACAGAGGTCCCTCTTTGAAAGGTGAAAAACAAAGTAAGGAATGTAGGTTTGAATTTTATAATAAAAAATGCCTAATTTATTGTCTTTTATATATAAAAATATGTTGGACAAGTAGAAAAAATAGTCAGTACTGCTTCCTTGTCCTTTTTGTAAATTTTTGTTATTTATTTGTTTTGATTATTTTGAAAATTAAAATTTGTTAGGTGTCGCTGAAATAGGAACTCACATTTTTTTATTTTAAAAGCATTATTTGTATGCAACATTTCATGAAACGCAGGGGCGGTACCAGCCATTAATAAACCCAGAATGAAGGGGGTTCCAACTATATGTCCCCATTCAAATGCATTGATCATCTAAAAAAAAGGGGGGGTTTCAAACCCAGGAAACCCCCCCCCCCCCACTGGAACCGCCACTGAAATCATAATTATAAATCTCCCATCTGTGTCCACTGCTCATCAATCTCAAATATAAATCCACACAAAAATTCATATTGATTTTTCATTTGTCTGTTTTTCAGAGGCTTCAGGAAATTTTAGTGGCAATGCAGTTTTGGAATACAGCTTTGAGTTACTTAGGAATGCTCGATTTACAACTAGTGAGAATTTATCCCTGTCCTTCCAGACCAGTGCCGTAGTGGGGAAGAAACAGGTTGTCTTGGCTGTTATAATGAGTTCAAAGTATGTTACAAATGTAGTTATTTTATTTCATGAAAAACAAGACAAATTTGATGAGAAATTAATGTAAAGAAATATAAAAACTTATCAAAAGCTTTGAGTTTTAAAGTTTCTGAAACATGATGGTTGTTTGACTCTAACTTAGAAGTCACTTAACAGACAGGGAAACAAAAAGCATTAGTGGTTGTCAATGTGGCGATGCCTTTAACCTTATAAAAGTTAAGATATGTTCTCTTTGAATTAAACTGACACAGTAGTTTTTGTCTCACTTGCAATGACAGTTGCACTTCGTAAGACATTGCGATTACAGTTGGCAGCGGCGTAAACTATTTGTATTAAGGGCATATGATACAGTTACAGGGGAGTAAATGACATTGCTAACGTAATATGTTATTTTTCGCGACGTCAAACAGCGACATATCGTGAAAAGATGCATTTTTCGAGTGATTTTAATCATGAGCTTGAAAACGAGTACATTGATCCCTTTTTTTTAAAAGGACATTTGACTTGATACTGTATGAAGATTATTTGTATCAATTTTTATGAAAAAAGCACAAACGAATTTTTTTTTAAATTAGATAAATATGCAGCAAAAAATGCCGTTTTTTACAAAAATCATGAAAATTTAATAAAAATAAATTATTTTCAAAGAATTGTTACACAAATTAAGAGGATACTTTTGTAACGCAGATATTCCAAATCTTTTTACAAAAATCTGCATGTGTTTATCTTTTGAAACAAAAAAGTTAAGTATGTCTGTCCAAAGGATAGAAATGTCCAAGAAACCGCAATTTTAAGTAAATGTGTAAAATTTCAACCCCATTTATCTCTAAATATAGCACATGAAAGTATATTTATTATTACTTATTTGAATTAACTATGTGAAAAGTAGCTTGTATGCAAATTTTCGTTAAAAAATCACAGAGGCATCAAAACTGTATCGTATGCCCTTAAGCTATATATTTCAGATGGTAGAACACCTGGAGGCTTTATGCTTTGTATGCAGATACCTTTTTGTTACGAATTAAACTTTCGTCTTTCATATGTCTGTTGTCCTTGACCTCAGTTCATTGTTCAACGACTGCTTGAAAAGAAAGTTTAGTTTTTTTTGACATGTGAATTTCTCACTCATTATGAGTAATAAGATAACTATATTTTGTATATGGGTTCCTTGTAAGGTCTACATATCTGTCAGACAGGTTTCACCTGACCGCAACCTCATTTCATGGATCAGTGATCAAAGTTAAAGTTACATGATTAGGCCTGTTTCTCAGAAACTGTAAGCAGTAGGTCACCTATATTTGGTGTATGGAATGATTGTAAGGTGTATATGTCTGTCTGGCCGTTTTTCATCTGACCTTGACCTCATTTTCATGGTTCATTGGTCAATGTTAAATTTTCCTTGTTGAGTCTGTTCCTTAGATACTATAAGCAATAGGTCAACTTCAATTGATGCATGGCATGATTGTAAGGTGTACATGTCTGACTGGCAGGGTTCATCTGACCTTGACTTCATTTTCATGGCACATTTATCAATATTACGTTTTCATGGTTTGGTCTGTTACTTGTATACTATAAGCAAGAGGTAAACTATATTTGGTATATGGAATGCTTATGAGGTGTACATGTCTGTCTGACTTGGGTAATCTGACCTTGACCTCATTTTCATGGATCATTGATAATGTTAGTTTATGTGATCCTTGTAGTAAACTTTATCTTTAGGACTTTTAACTAAAAATCAATCATGGTTAGTAAAGAAGGCAAGAAATTTCAGAGTGTGTTCTCTTGTTCTATATTTCTGGGACAACTGTTTTCGGTGTAGAATAGGTCTTATTAGGTTCTGCAAATCTTTCTAAACAAAACGTGGTGCAAGCAACAATCCATCAATCAATCTTTTAAAAGAAAGGTACCCTGAATAGATAGCTATCTCAATCTTCAAACCAAGCATCACAGGAAGGAAATGATAATAATATAAAGCTATCTCAATCTTCAAACCAAGCATCACAGGAAGGAAATGATAATAATATAAGTGATACATGTTAGTGTACTTACATGCATTTCTGCTGTTTCTAGGCATAATGTCAAAATCAACAGTATTAATACCTCTCAGCTCTGAAGAAGGTGTATACTAATTACTTTGGCCCTTCTGTCCGTGCCATGAATTTTATCACATTTTCCTCAGGAAATACAATTAAGAGCTTCCTTAAATTTGGTATGAAGCTTCATGTTAGAGTACTATACAGTGTTATATGTTATACATCCAACGGTCAACACTTCATATTTTTGCACATAATGATCATGTATGAAATTTTCATTTCAATTATCTCAGGAAATATGAATCACAGCTTCCTGAAATTTGGTACCAAGCTTCATATGAGCATGCCATACTGTTAATGTGTTTTCACATCCATCCCTCATCAACTTCTTGTTTTCAGAGAACTTCCAGCAAAGATATCATTAATGAGCAATATAGCACACAGTACATCTTGTTTGAATTAAGATTTTTATAAAAGTTGACTGAGTGCCCTTGGTAGGATGTATCTAGTCAACTATTGAACCATCACAAAGGATGTAGGCTGAAATTTGTCCACATTACACGTACATTTGTATTTTAATTTTCAATTCATATATTTATTGTATACAGGAGTTTACAGGTTCTGTAATCATTTTATTGTGTATTTCTAGACATCCAGATCATGATCTTTTATTGTTTGTGTTAACTGCTGATGGTGTTATGGTCAAGCATTATCAGAATAGACTTAATTGTAAGTAGACATAGATAATAATTCAGAAATTATTTCATTATTTATAGGATTTTCATTTTGCCTGTTACTATCAATGCTGAAGTAAGGATTTTCATTTTGCCTGTCAAGTCAATGCTGAAGTAAGGATTTTCATTTTGCCTGTAACGTCAATGCTGAAGTAAAGATTTTCATTTTGCCTGTAACGTCAATGCTGAAGTAAGGATTTTCATTTTGCCTGTTACTATCTATGCTCAAATAAGGATTTTCATTTTGCCTGTTTATAGTATCTATGCTGAAGTAAGGATTTTCTTTTTGCCTGTAAAGTCAATGCTGAAGTAAAGATTTTCATTTTGCCTGTTAGTATCTATGCTGATGTAAGGATTTTTTTTTTTGCCTGTTAGTATCTCTGCTGAAGTAAGGATTTTCTTTTAAACTAAATAAACAACCAGCACTTTGCTCTGCACTTGCAGCAAACAATGAGGTCCGAGGACATAGTTATCGTCCTTTGATTTTCGCTGTCTACGAATATAGTCCCTAGTGTGGACAGTGTATAACTTGCAAATTTTTTTCATACACTTTCCAAATTTATTATACGACCGCAAAAAAATTTTGGGGTCGAATATTGCTATCATGTCGTCAGCAGCGGCGGCGTCTTCTTCCGAAGACATTTGGTTTCCTGACAATAACTTAAGTTTAAGTATGGATCTCTATGAAATTTAACCAAAAGGTTCAATACCACTAAAGAAAGGTTGGGATTGTTTTTGGGAGTGATGGTCCAACCGTTTAGGAATTAGGGGCCCAAAACAAGCATTTTTCTAGTTTCAGGACAATAACTTGTGTATTAGCTATTGATTGCTCTGAAATTGTACCACAAGGTTCAATACCACAAGTCAAAGGTTGGGATTTATTTTGGGGGTAGTTGTCCAAACCGTTCAGGAATTAGGGGCCAAAAAGGGTCTAAAACAAGCATTTTTCTAGTTTTCAGACAATAACTTTATTGTGTTTAAGTGTATTGATGTCTCTTAAAATGTACCGTTACCACATTTTACAAAAAAGAAAATTTTCTTCAAATGTTATTTTTTTTTTTGGAAAAGGAGGGGGATTAAAAAAAAATGGGGGGGGGGGGGGTAAAAAAAAAATTTTGGGGGGAGGGGGTACAATTTTTTATCCTCAAGATTTAAGAAATTAACAAGAAAATTTCTTCAAATATTTCCTTTTGGAAAAAGGGGGGGGGGGGGGGGGGGGTCTTCAAGATTTAAGAAATTGTCAATTTTCCAAAGAAAAATTTGGGGTCACAATTGCTAACTTTGTATATACATGTAGTCTGATGTGTATTGCACAAAAGCAAGAAATCTTCAATTGAATATAAATTCAAATCATATAACCAATTTTAAGTTCTTTGACTACATTCATTCTGTGTCAGAAACCTATAATGTGCCAAATATTTAATTACAATCCAAATTCAGACCTGTATCAAGCTTGATTATTGTGTCCATTTTTGCCCCAACTGTTCAGGGTTGGACCTCTGCGGTTGTATCCAGCTGTGCTTGGCGAAGCAGTTTATTCCTTTTAATTTTTAATTTATTGTCTAAAAGAAATGCACTATGAAATATCTGTGTTCTCTGGCCATGAGGTGATGGAAATCTTTCATAATAACCTTATTTTTAAGCCTGTCTACTATTTTGATTTTCCGGTCTGTATGTTTGTCCTTCCTGTGTCAGGTTAAAGTTTTTGGTTAAAGTAGTTTTTGATGAAGTGGTCATTATGATGTGAACTTTTTGATTTTTATTCCAAATTACAGTTTTGAACCTGATTTCATGGTTCACTGAACAGGGAAATGTGATAGTGTAAAACCAGTACATTCTCAGGTTAAAGTTTTTGGTTATTAGTTTACCCCTGAAGTTGTGGTCACATCGACGTGAAACATTATAAACATGTTCATGATGATGTGAACTTTTTAAAATACAAGAATGTATATGCCAATTTAAAGATTTGACTGCAATTTCACGGTTTACTGAACTTGAAACTGTGATAACTGTAGTGTGATAGTTTGAAACAAACCAGTACATTCTTTGTTAAAGTAGTTTAATTTTTTCCAATTTTTCTGGACTTGGGGAAAATGGTCATTTTTTTAGAAAGATGGTACAAGTTTTGTGTAATCAGCTCCTCCTAGAGTTTTCAACCAATAAACCCCTGAAACCTCACAGAAAGATTCCACACATGTTGAAGTTGTGCAACTGCTATTATGGAATTGTTGGAGGAATATTTTTCTATTTTCCTGAACTTTTTGGTGAATTAACCTAATAATTTTTCAGCAAAAATTTCAAAAAGTTGGTAATAATTATTGAAGTGGTGCACCTTCCATATGAAGTTGTTAAAAGATTTTTTCCTGTTTTTACATTTTAGCTTTCCATATGTTTAGATGTTCAGTAAAGTCCATTCTCCATCTTTGGTCTATTTTTAATAATATTTGAGTTTTTTGTTGCATTTCAGATGGTTTAAGGGTAGAGGGCAAATTTGCTGATGGAAAACCACATAAATTACAGTACTGGAGGTCAGGAGATGAAATGTTACTAACGGTAAGGTCACTGAGGTCAAAATGTTATGTTGCACAATGCATGCTGTAAACTTCTAACAACTATTCTTTAATTTTTCAATATGAACTTGATGAAATTTTATATTTTAGAAAATGAACTAATGATTTTGTTTAAATAAAAAGAAAAAGTATTCACTGTAGATAGGAATTTAATTTTAGTATAATCTATCAAAAGGTCAGTTGCCAGTTTTGGATTCCATCATTAGTAGTTATCATACAGAAACATTAAGAATATCAAATGTTGATAAAATCATACTAATAGATTATCGATGGTTTTTCAAACGAGAGAGTATTTCTCAGCTACAATCTCATTATGTCCATGTATGAATTTTTTGTCTTATTTTTCTCAGGAGCTTAAATCAGAGCTTCCTGAAATTTGGTATCAAGCTGTAAGTGAGCATATATATTTGTTTAGGGGCCAGCTGAAGGACGCCTCCGGGTGCGGGAATTTCTCGCTGCATTGAAGACCTGTTGGTGACCTTCTGCTGTTGTCTGTTCTATGGTCGGGTTGTTGTCTCTTTGACACATTCCCCATTTCCATTCTCAATTTTATCCTATACTGTGTGATAGGCCAGCAAATTCCTATGACATCTTACTCAGAAACTATAAATCAGAGCCTCCTCAAATTTGGTACCAAGCTTCATGTGAGCACTCTGCAATCTGTGATTAATTTTCACATCCATTGCTTATCAAATTCTTGTTTACTGAATACTTATAGTGGTGGAATCATTTGTAACAGATAGCTCATAGTTCATCTTGTTAAACTTTTTATTTGGTTTTATTTGTTGGTCGTTGGGGAGATTTGGTAAAACTTTGATTGGGGATGCCATAATAATCATTTAAGTGAAATTTGACTGAATATAAAAATAAGAAGTAGTGGTATGATTGTTATTGATAGAACCATCCACCAGAGAACAAACGACTAAGATGTCAGCAATTGTAGGCTAACGTACAGCACAATGAGACATAGAACATACCTGTGAATCTTTTAAAAGTGTATAGGAAGATCTCCCATAGTAAGCAATTTTTAAGGTGATTTTATGTGACAGACTTTATTAGGCATAATTTATTATTTATTTATAATATTGTTACCATTAAGAAGAAATTTGCAAATTTCATCAAAATAGGTTAAATTAGAAAATTTCAAAAGTTTTGCCAGTTAAAATAACATGCAATGCAGCTTTAAAAGTGACTTTTGTTATGTAAAAAGTTAATGGTAAATTAGATTTAAAATTTAAATTTATTTTGCTAAAATAATAGTTCGTTGTTGGCCCAACTTGGAGATGGATTATGTGGGCAACTTGGTCATTGAAGGAGATTTTAAGCTTTCTTAAAGGAGCAAGTCTTACAGATACATTCGGATAAATGGGCAAGTTTTTTCCCTAGTGGAGGAAGGTAATATTTATGGGTGAAGATTTTTAAAGGTTTACAACAACAGACACAAGGTGTGAAAAACTGGCGCTTTAGGACCTGGGTGATCAAGCTAATAGTAATTGAGGCTTGAATCTAGATTAATCTTAAAGCTGATGTTGCTTTCATAAAATCTCATAAAAATTTTCCATAATCCTAGAATTGATGTTATATAGCGAAAAAAATAACAATACCTAGCAGTTGATACCATACAACAACTTTCAAATTTTACAATATTTTAATAAATTCCCCTTCTTTATTCAGATTTAACATTATGCATGTACGATTAACTGAAAACTGGCATTTTCATTCTGATCAATACAAGTTTAGACTTTTTTGTGTCTGACCTGGTTGTATAATTGAAGTCTTTAAATAAAAAATATTTTATTAGGACGCCAAGTTAGGATAGATGACAATATTCTTGTCAACTTTAGACTTATGTCAATCAAGAGTTATGGAACTTTGTTCATGAAAAATTAGTCTATTGTTCAATAACTTAATTATGAATTGTCTAAATCTCCTTTTTTTTACAATTAAGAAAGCTCCATTTTAATAATGATTTTTTTGGCATTGTGATTTCAGGGTAACAGAACTTTGATTGTGAGTCATGGCCTTTTATCAGTTTGAGCAATACCTTTGTTTAATCCACTCATTTGAAACATTTAAATGATTTTAGAATTGATAATTAATGGCCAGATCATGTATTTGAATAGCTAATAACATAATATTAAAAGATAATATCTTACTGCAATGAAATGCATATAAGCTAGAATTGTTTATGGTGCAAGAACCACACTCCCATCATATGTAGTACTATATTATGTATATTTTGGTGTTTGCTATCGTGTCTACAAGTAACGCCTCTATGTTTATTGTATTGTTTATAATCGTGTCTACAGGTAGCGCCTCTATGTATATTGTATTGTTTATAATCGTGTCTACAGGTAGCGCCTCTATGTATATTGTATTGTTTATAATCGTGTCTACAGGTAGCGCCTCTATGTATATTGTATTGTTTATAATCGTGTCTACAGGTAGCGCCTCTTTCTAATGTAAGTATCCTGCACATCTTTGTGTCTCTCCTACATTGCTTTACACACATTACTGAATGTTCCTTGACCTTTCAGGTGACTACTTTGAAAATATCCAATTTGATATTCGAATGGTATACTTCGAAAAAAGAACAACTGTTCATTACAGACATAACAGTTCATTACATCTCAAAATCAGTGTTGTATATGCCTAAATGTATATCAAATGGTTACACATCATAATAAAATACTATTTTGAAGGAAAAAACAGTGGAATTGTAAATTTTCATACTTCAGTGAATTTTTTTCTGCTAATTTAAATATATGTTTATTAGTAAAAGATATTATGTGTGAATAAGCATTATGCTTCACCATTACGATTACAATTAAATTTTGTTATAATTGTTTGAATGATCACGGGCATGCTTAAAATCTTACATGTGTTTTCTTTAATTTTGTTTGGAGATATTTGTTAATTTTATAGTAACAGATTAAAAAAAGATAGTATCACAGTGTGTATGATTTGTGTATTTTTATTGTTTTATTTCAACATTAATATTGTTCAACATTTTTTTTCCAGATATGAAAACCTAATTGTTTTAAGTAAATTTTATGTTGCCATGGCATATTTTACTTTATGTTGTTACAGTTATGCAATAAACCAATAGTTCTGTAGCATGAGTAAAACCACTTGAAAGTCTTTGTTTTTGTAGTTTTGTTATATCCCATAAAAGATGAAAAATGTGTTTCAATTAGTTTTGTTTTGGAAGAAAAGTTTTAATGAGTGTTAAAAATATCATTGTTGTTTTAAAATCAAAATTTTCTCTGAAAATTTTAAGGAATGGCTTAATGTCAATTTTAGTTGCAGTTAATTGTTATGATATTTTCTGTATTACCCATACATGTAGGTTAAGTTGAATAAAAAAAGTTTGTAAATAAAACTTACAAAAAGTACACTTTTTTCAAATGTATGTTTTGTAAAATTTATACCAAATTTGTTTGTAGACACTGGATGATTTAGAGCTCGGCATATTATATAGATACGTGTCTTTTGTGAAAGACTCTATGCTTACTACTCTAGATATCTTTTGTGTTGTTGGGTTGTTGTCTTATTGACACATGCATCACATCTCCATTTATTCATATCTCCTTTCTCCAATGTTGGAGGACAATTATATATTGATTGATTGTTAGTGATTTTATACTCAGTGACCAATATTTCTCATCAAGCTGTCAAAGGTAAAATAACTGGACAATCTGTATTTAGTGTATAGATACATCATGGTATAAAGTTTCTGTCTTTTCAATGTCAGATGTCGTTGACCTCATATGCCTGATTAAATGGCTTATTAAAGTCATGGCTAAGTTTTTATTCTTAGATCAGTTTTTCAATTACTATAAATATTAGGTAAACTATTTTTGGTCTGTAAAATCATTGTAAGTAGTACATATAAAAATAAGAAGATGTGGTATGATTGAGACAACTCTCCACCAGAGACCAAATGACATAGAAGTTAACAACTATAGGTCACCGTACGGCCTTCAACAATGTCTGTCAGACAGTAAAGCTTTCAGGATGAGGTGAATTTCTCATTACCATTACATGTCACAGGTCTCTCATTACCATTACATGTCACAGGTCAACCAAGTTAATAAGTAGAATCATGTTGAATAGTAATTTTCTCTCTGGCATAGGTAACCTCTCCTTGACCTAATTTTTTTAAGGCTCAATGATCTACTTTGAGTTTAACCCTTTAGCCCCCAATCCCGCCTGTAGGCGTGATGGCGACAACCATTCTTTGATGGCCCGTATGACCCTCCATACCTTTTTTGAACTGCCCCAGCTGAACTGTCATGATAGCAGGGACTTCAACCAAGCAGTTCATTGTCCATAAACTCTTCTCAGATGTCTGTTCATGAAAATATGGCACTTTGAAAGCCGTTTAAGAGTTCAAAATCGGAAAAACGTGAAAAGTAGCCAAAATCAGGTGGGGGTGGGCATCTTTTGATGGCCACTACGTAACTGGTAGTGACTGTAGGTATAAACTATTATCATAAATGCATGCATAGGTGGTAAAGGAACACAACGAGGTATAATATGGCCAATAGGAATCTAGTCTGTAAAATCTAGGTCACCGTTTTGTCAAAAATCCGTAAAAACGGACATTTAGGCACACCTGACTTGACAATAATAATTCCCCAGCAAGACACTTAAGTCCAATATACTCCCAGTTAGCATGAATGGACTGCTGTAACTATAGGGTAATACTTGAATGACAAAGAAAAACAGTCTGGTCAATGTTCACCTCTCAAGGTCGTTTAAAAATCGGAAAATAGACGGAAAATTTACATTTTTCAGTGGGGGTGGGTTCAAACCCACGAGAAAATATTCCACCTCCCACCCCACCCCCCACCCATGCCATTCGCCCCCAAATCTCAATACATAGTTTAATAGATGAGCATCAGTTACAGCATCAAGAGTCTGCTAATTTGCATATAATTTGCATATGATTGCAAATTTTCGAAAATGCCTGATTTTCCAGAAATCTCTTGGGGGCGAATGAGTTAAGTGGTAGGTGAAATCTAAACTACATTATCATTTAAAAACCTAATAATGACTGTCAGTTATATGATTGCAGTGTCCCTGGTTACTGGTTTATTTATTTTGGTGGGTACCATTTTTCATAGATTGAGGAAAAATTGTATTTTTTTCATGGATATTTGATTTCGTGGTTTTGCCAAAGTCTGCATACAAGCCTATCAAAAAAATTTATAATTTCATTGAACATTTAAATTCATTGTTCATCTATACTCACAAAATCCAAGAAAATTGATATTCCACAAATACTTATGAATCCACAGTATCTGGATACACATACTTTTACTATGATGTAAAGTCTTAACATAAAAATTATTCAGCCATCATCAGTTAAGCAGGTGAGACATTCTGCTTGTCCAGTCTTGGATAGTTAAACAGTATCTCTCATATACTTTCAGCTTGATGATGTTCGGAAGATGACAGTACCAAATATCCGGAATCCATTGGATGACCTTGATGTCATGATGCTTGGTGGAGTGGTACTACACAAACTAAAAAGCGATATAGAAAATAAAGACAAGTTTGTTAATTTCACAGGATGTATCTCTGGTAGGTTATGCTTACAAGATATATGTGACCCCCCATGACATTTCCAGGCATATGGCGGTAAACATCATAATGAGAAAATGTCAATGTAAAGTCACAAAACGAATCGAGGCACATGTTATTGAATGTCCAATTATATCATGCTGTAAAATAAAGTTTCAAGTAGATTTTTTACATAAAATTAAAAATTTAGTTAAAAATCCTGTTTAAAATCGCCTTCACACAATTTATCTTTTGGATTTCATTGCATTGATCTGAATAAGAATTAATTCTCAAAGGGGCCTGAAAATAAAATTCAGATCATTATAGGCATTTCAAAGTGCAGTGTTTATATGTTTCTCTACTTTTTTACTAATACAGATTGCAGCATGAACACCAAATCTCATTGTTCACATTGTAAGGGAAAATATCTTGGTATTCACTTTTTAGCATTAATGCAGTTTTCCTTAAGAGAAAGAAAAATGTTCAATTCACTATCATCAAGTCATACTTATTTAGACTGCAGATTCTGGTACATTCTTGTTATGGCAATCCAATGGTTGATATAGAAAACATTTTTTATTTCTATTGTAAAAAAAAAAAACACAAAAAAACAATATGACAAGTTTCAAAGATAACTATAATAGATAAAAATACATGTGAAAAATTGAAAAAATGAAAATATTTAATAAAATCTGAAGTAACAAAAATGACCATAAATCTGTTATTTTGCAGAATCTAGCAAAATAACTTGTCAGGGTGTTTTGAATCTATGTATACTTCATAAAAATGCAAAAAGTTCATGATCCTGGTACCTCCATAAGCCTGAAAATCTCATGGCTGGTCACATATCTGTTTATAATGTTAATTACTATTGCCTTTTACTGACATTTGTTTGGGCCTTGGTGGCCAAGAGGGTAAGTAGTTAAGGTTGTGATATTGAATTGCACTCATGACAAGCTTGCAGTTGTATACGATTCTGATCTTAATTAAATATACCAGTGTTCCTGTTGAAGGTTGTGTTTTCCTTACGGGAACTTTGGCTTCCTCCATCAATAAAAGATGGCTGCCATGATATAGCCGCTGATAGTGGTGTTAAACAACAAACAATCAAACAAAACAAACTTACATTTGTTGAAGTAAATACACCCTGTAATCACAAATCTTATTTATAGGAAATACCAAATTATATAGATTAGGATTGTTTTATGCATGTTGTTTGTTTGCTGTCAGAATATAAAGTTGAAAAAAAATACAGATTTATTTTCACAATCCTTCTTCCCTTATTATTTTGAATTCAAAGAATTTAAAACTTATCTGGTTCCTGGTTTTTTTTCAGAAGTATTGTTTACACCAGTGGAAAATGAACCATACATTATCAACCCATTAAAAGAATTGAGAAGTTTTGCTAATCAATCTATTATCATACATGGAGATGACATTGACGGCTGTTCTTTAGATACTGATGCTGACCAACACATGACAACTGATTCAACATATACTACAGATTCCGAAACAGATCAGGTATCAAAATCCATAAGATAGTAAGCTATAAAAGGTCTTGACTTGAGAATATGTCAAACAAGAAAACTATCGACCTGTTTAATGAAGAAACATGAAGTGTAAAACAGATAAGACATACAGCAACCATGTTGATGGAATTGAATTAGACATAGTCTTTTAGCTTAAAGAATATTTATGCTACTTGCTTTATTACACTTTATTAATGAGTATTGATTAATTTCCCTTTTATTACATTGATAATTTTGTTAATTGTAGATCAGGTTTGTTATAGCACTGATTTCCAAGATTATTTTTAAGTAAGGCACGTCAAAAATAAAAACAATACAAAAAATACCAGAATTAAATTATGTTTAAATAAATAACCGAGATATACTATAAAGATTAAGTATAGACAAATTATATTTCACTTGAATGGATTATCTAATCTTTTCTTTAATACAGGATAGAACAATGCCACCTTGGAATCCTGGTCCAGCAGAAACTATTTATCTGAATGCTCCACCATCGACAACCACTATGAAGACCACAATACTACCAACACCAAAACCAACCATACCAACCATTCCTAAAACTCCTGTATCAACTACAGACAGGCTTAATGTATCAAAATCCTCTATTGGTCACACTAAAATTGGGGGAACGGCTACAGATCTGGAAATTAGTAAGCAATGACTTTGATGCAGTTTGAGATTGCATTTCATTTCGTATAACATACTTTTCACTTGGGTCACTGAGTTTTTTTGTCATTCCACAGACAAGGACATTAGAGTCATCCCAACAAATTTATTTCAAAACTGATGTGTTATAGTGATTGCAACCGCATTTTTACTATGTTTTGAAATAACTATATGACATATCTCAATTAGTATTTCCTAAAAATAAACGTTTCTGATAAATAGTTCTTGTTGAGCAATTTAATTTCATGTTTTTCTTTGGAAGCATTATGCAACTACAAAATCAAATTTTTAAAAAAATATTGCCTTTTTCAGTATAATCTACAGTCATATTTCAAAACAGTTTTGAAAAAAATATGATTATGTAAAATTTTATTACTGACATGATTCTATTTATGGTTTATCATGTGAAACCAGCATTACTGTTTCAAACTTTTTACAAATAACTTTTTTTTCAGTGATTGCCTTGGCAATAATTTGTGGTTTGATGTTGATATCTGTCCTAATTGCATTGTTCCTGTGTAAGAAGCGAAAACATGAACGCTATGTTATGAAGAAGGTACCTCCAGATGACCTTGAACTCAAAGTACCTCTAAACCACACCTCTAGTCCTCCACCTAGTCAAAAACCTTATGATCATATAGCCAGACTGGATGAGTTCAGCATGATCTCTGCAACATTAGGACGTAAGTATTGGAGAAATATTACGTAGAGATTAGACAAGTCAAGAATGGTCCTGGTGAAACTAAAACATATTAAGTATTGTAGGACTTATGTAAATAGACAGGACTAGTACATCATGTTCTCATGATCATCATATAGAGTTTTAGGTGGTTTCTATGAAGTAAAAATCATCTTATAGTATGGTGAATGTTTTGTACCAATGTGGGCAAGTGGTTAGTAAAACTTTTCAAGTCTAACATTTGACCTGTAGTATAATGTAATTGACACTGTAGGCCTTTTCTAAAATACAACAGCAAGTGGTGAAGACTTAAAACAAATTTTTTATTTGAATTAAGATATAAAAGTAAATTTTCCGTTTTATAAACAGTAGATATATTAATGGGAGATAACTCTAATTAAAATATAACATGTATTTATGTCATTAATATTTTTTGATGTTTTAAATGATTTTTGTACAAATTTCCATTTGCAGCTGCTAAGAGAAGAAAAGAAAACGGAGTTGGTCCTGGAACTGAGGTAAAAACTCAAGTTATATTTCTTTTCTGTAATCTATGTCTTTGTAAATTCCAGATTGATTTACCATATTAAAACATCATGCAATGTCTACAAAGTTTAAATATGCAAACTTTTTTGGTAAAAGGAGAAAAGCATGTACCTACTGTACAGATGTTGTATGTATAGTGTTTGGTTGTCTGTAGTGTAATTGATCTTTCCTTTTTACACATCTCTAATTGGTAAATTATAGCAGTGAATTTCATTGAAATAGTCTTAATATGGTTCTGTTTCTAATATATTTTATTTATGCTACCTCTTTTTTTATCAAAATGATTTTATATGTTTTATTACAATAGCATTACATTATTTTTTCTATGTTTCTCCTAATCTCACCTCAAGATAAGAAAAGAAATTGCTCAGAAAATTCAATGGAATTATATATTCTTTATTGCTTAATACCAATGTGCATCTGTCCATTTATTTTCTGAATTGAATGTTAAGTAAGGCCTTTCATATAGCAAAAATTAGGACTTTTAAAACATCTTTTGTGTATTTATGGAAGCAGGGTTATTAGGTTGTGAACATAGCTTATAGTTTATCCAATTGAGCTGAAGTCATGACCCTGAGTTTTTGTTAAGATTTTGGTTTGCAATTTTAGACAAAGCATTTAGTACATTTACTTATTATGTACCACAAGCATTTTAAGATATTTGCTGTCTTTACTAATTGAAACCTGTATCTTGTAGCTCTATTTAAGGCTAAAACATCTTAAATTAAACCAACTGACCACTACCCCTTTAAAAAACTCTAATCATTGGTGATTTAATTCACAAGCAGCTGGATTATTGTCTAGCCATTATTGTGTCTGTGTGAGAATACCTTACCCTGAATACAGTTCACAAATCAGCTACATAACTTTGATATTTTTGCAGCCATTATTAAATGATAGTGACCTGTCTCCAGGAGAGTACCCTGTACAGTCTACATTTTATAACAAGAAGAAAAATAGACCAGCCTCCTCAATATCTGAAGTTTTAGAGGAAATAGAAAGACAGAAGAGAGAAAAGGGTAAAGTAAACTTGTATACTAGATGCATAATTTTTGTGGGTTCCATTTTTTGTGGATTGAAGAAAAATTATATGATCCTTTGATACTTAATTTCATGGTTTTGCCAAAGTTTGATAGGAACTATTTGCGATGGATTCGTGATATTTTGTATGAAGTTGCATTACTGTCAGTACATATTAGTTTGACGACTATTTTGAGGCTTCCCCCTAGGCCATGCTGCAGTGACTTTGAATTGATTAGCAATTTTAAATGTTAAGTTTTCTGGTTAAGTTAGATTGATTGGAACTACTTGTGATACATCAATGATATTTTGTGTGAAGTTGCATTGCTATCAGTACATACATCAGTCTGACGACTATTTTGAGGCCCTGCCCCCCTAGGCCATGGTTCAGTGACTTTCAATTAATTAGCAGTTTTCAATTTTAAGTTTTCTGATTGAGTTAGTTTGATAGGAACTACTTGTGATAGATCAATGATATGTTCTATAAAGTTGCATTACTATAAGTACATATCAGTTTGACAACTATTTCAAGGCCCTGTCCCCTAGGACATGGTCCAGTGACTTTCAATCAATTAACAATCTTCAATGTTAAGTTTTCTGATTAAGTTAGTTTGATAGGAACTAATTACAAAAGACAATATTTTCAATAAAGTTACATTGTTGTCTGTACATCTCAATTTGTCAACCAGACCTAGGTTTCAAGGCCCTACCCTCTAGTTGGTCCAGCGACTTTGAATTAATTAGCGATGTTGCTGTCCATCATATTGTCTTTTTCTGAATTTTGTGCCAACAGGCGAGACATATCTCCGTGTCAACAGTTTATTGTTTTTATACGACCGCAAAAATTGAAATATTTTGGTCGTATATTGGTATGACGTCGGCGTCGTCGTCGTCGTCGTCTGGCGTCGTCCGGCGTTGTCCGAAGACACATTGGTTTTCGCACTCTAACTTTAGTTTAAGTGAATGGATCTCCATGAAATTTTACCATAAGGTTCAATACCACGAAAGGAAGGTTGGGATTGATTTTGGGGGTTATGGTACCAACAGTTAAGGAATTAGGGGCCAAAAAGGGGCCAAAAATAAGCATTTTTGTAACTTCCAGACAATAACTTGTGTGTAAGTGTATGGATCTCTCTGACATTGTACCACAAGGTTCCATATCACAAAGGGAAGGCTGTAATTGATTTTGGGGGTAATTGCCTCAAAATTTTAGGAATTAGGGGCCAAAAAAGGGGCAAAAAACAAGCATTTTTCTAGTTTCATGACAATAACTTGTGTGTAAGTGTTTGGATATTTCTGAAATTGTACTACAAGGTTCAATATCACAAAGGGAAAGCTGGAATTGAGTTTGGGGGTAATTGCCCGAAACGTTTAGGAATTGGGGGCCAAAAAGGGGCCAAAAATAAGCATTTTTCTAGTTTCCAGACAATAACTTGTGTTCAAGTGTATGGATCTCTCTGAAATTGTACTGCAAGGTACCATACCACAAAGGGAAGGCTGGGATTGAGTTTGGGGGTGATGAATCATAAGGGGGTTCAAAAAATTTGGGGGGGGATTCTTTTTTTTTCTTTTTTTCCTTTTTTTTTTCTTTTAAAATTTTCCATTTTAAGTTGGTTATTTCTGATTAATATTTAAAAGCAAATAATAATGATATGGTAGGAGATACACACCAAACAGGATGTGTAAATTATTATATAATAAGTATTGTGCAATAGCAAGAAATTTTCAATTGCACAGTATTGCACAATTGCAAGAAATCTTCAATTGCACAGTATTGCGCAATAGCAAGAAATCTTCAATTGCACAGTATTGCGCAATAGCAAGAAATATCCAATAGCACAATATTGCGCAATAGCAAGAAATTGTCAATTGTACAGTATTGCACAATAGCAAGAAATATTCAATTGCACAGTATTGTGCAAAAGAAGATACTTCGTATAAATTGCTTATTTCTTGATCAATTTCAATGGGGTTTTATTCTTGAATTCTTGGGGTTCTTTAATATGCTGAATCTAACCGTGTATTAAGTTTTTGAATTTTGGGCCCCGTTTTTAAATTGGTCCACATTGAGGTCCAAAGGGTCCAAAATTTAACTTTGTTTGATTTCATCAAAAATTGAATTATTGGGGTTCTTTGATATGCCGAATCTAACCGTGTATTTAGATTCTTAATTTTTGGTTCCGTTTTCAAATTGGTCTACATTAAGGTCAAAAGGGTCCAAAATTAAACTTAGTTTGATTTTAACAAAAATTGAATTTTTAGGGTTCTTTGATATGCTGAATCTAAACATGTATTTAGATTTTTGATTATGGGCCCAGTTTTCAAGTTGGTCCAAATCGGGGTCCAAAATTAAACTTTGTTTGATTTCAACAAAAATTGAATATATGGGGTTCTTTGATATGCTGAATCTAACCATGTATTTAGATTTTTGATTTTTGGGCCCCGTTATCAACTTTGTCCACATTGAGGTCAAAAGGGTTCAAAATTAAACTTTGTTTGATTTCATCAAAAATTGAATTCTTGGGGTTCTTTGATATGCTGAATCTAACCATGTATTTAGATTTTTTATTTGTGGACCCGCTATCAAATTGGTTCATATTGAGGTCAAAAGGGTCCAAAATTAAACTTTGTTTGATTTCATCAAAAATTGAATTATTGGGGTTCTTTGATATGCTGAATCTAACCATGTATTTAGATTTTTGGGCCCCGTTATCAACTTTGTCCACATTGAGGTCAAAAGGGTCCAAAATTAAACTTTGTTTGATTTCATAAAAAATTGAATTCTTGGGGTTCTTTGATATGCTGATTCTAACCATGTATTTAGATTTTTTATTTGTGGACCCGCTATCAAATTGGTTCATATTGAGGTCAAAAGGGTCCAAAATTAAACTTTGTTTGATTTCATCAAAAATTGAATTATTGGGGTTCTTTGATATGCCAAATCTAACCGTGTATTTAGATTTTTAATTTTGGGTCCCGTTTTTAAATTGGTCTACATTAAGGTCCAAAGGGTCCAAAATTAAACTTAGTTTGATTTTAACAAAAATTGAATTCTTGGGGTTCTTTGATATGCTGAATCTAAACATGTGTTTAGATTTTTGATTATGGGCCCAGTTTTCAAGATGGTCCAAGTTGGGGTCCAAAATTAAACTTTGTTTGATTTCAACAAAAATTGAATATATGGGGTTCTTTGATATGCTGAATCTAAACATGTATTTAGATTTTAAATTTTTGGCCCAGTTTTCAAGTTGGTCCAAATTTGGGTCCAAAATTAAACTTTGTTTGATTTCAACAAAAATTGAATATATGGGGTTCTTTGATATGCTGAATCTTACCATGTATTTAGATTTTTTATTTGTGGGCCCGCTATCAAATTGGTTCATATTGAGGTCAAAAGGGTCCAAAATTAAACTTTGTTTGATTTCATCAAAAATTTAATTATTGGGGTTCTTTGATATGCCAAATCTAACTGTGTATTTAGATTTTTAATTTTGGGTCCCGTTTTTTAAATTGGTCTACATTAAGGTCCAAAGGGTCCAAAATTAAACTTAGTTTGATTTTAACAAAAATTGAATTTTTGGGGTTCTTTGATATGCTGAATCTAAACATGTGTTTAGATTTTTGATTATGGGACCAGTTTTCAAGTTGGTCCATGTTGGGGTCCAAAATTAAACTTTGTTTGATTTCAACAAAAATTGAATATATGGGGTTCTTTGATATGCTGAATCTAAACATGTTTTTAGATTTTAGATTTTTGGCCCAGTTTTCAAGTTGGCCCAAATTGGGGTCCAAAATTAAACTTTGTTTGATTTCAACAAAAATTGAATATATGGGGTTCTTTGATATGCTGAATCTTACCATGTATTTAGATTTTTTATTTTGTGGGCCCGCTATCAAATTGGTTCATATTGAGGTCAAAAGGGTCCAAAATTAAACTTTGTTTGATTTCATCAAAAATTGAATTATTGGGGTTCTTTGATATGCCAAATCTAACCGTGTTTTTAGATTTTTAATTTTGGGTCCGGTTTTCAATTTGGTCTACATTAAGGTCCAAAGGGTCCAAAATTAAACTTAGTTTGATTTTAACAAAAATTGAATTCTTGGGGTACTTTGATATGCTGAATCTAAACATGTGTTTAGATTTTTGATTATGGGACCAGTTTTCAAGTTTGTCCAAGTTGGGGTCCAAAATTAAACTTTGTTTGATTTCAACAAAAATTGAATATATGGGTTCTTTGATATGCTGAATCTAGCCATGTATTTTGATTTTGGACATTGGACCATAATAGGTAAATTAAAAAAATTGAAGTTCTTAGACCACATTCTTTCTGTGTCAGAAACCTATGCTGTGTCAAATATTTAATCACAATACAAATTCAGAGCTGTATCAAGCTTGAATGTTGTGTCCATACTTGCCCCAACTGTTCAGGGTTCGACCTCTGCGGTCGTATCAAGCTGCGCCCAGCGAAGCATTTTATTCTTTGTTGAAATAGTTTTTTGTTTAAATAATGATTAAGATTATAACACAATGTTGACTGCTGTACCCCAATTTTTGACAATTTTACTTATTATGTCTGTTTGTTTTGCTCACACATTGTTTTCAATATAATGGAATTCTATGTGTGAGAGGTTTAGCTAGCTATCATACATGTGATTGACTGTGAAACTCAGATCAGGAGATTGGGAAATTTTGGTCAGGAGATTAAGACTCAGATCAGGAGGTTTTTGATCGACATATATTTTGTCGTAAATGTAACCGTCTGCTATAAAACCAGGTTAATAAACCATTTTCTACATAAGGAAATGCCAGTACCAAGTCAGGAATATGAAAGTTGATTTCCATTCATTTGATGTGTTTGAGCTTTTGATTTTGCCATTTGATAAAGGACTTTCCGTTTTGAATTTTCCTTGGAGTTCGGTAATTTTATTATTTTACTTTTTGCATGATAACAAGTATTCTCATCAGACTTTCTAAAAAACAGAATGACTTCATATTTGTCTTCAATATTTTTCATTTTTACATGAACATAAAGAATATTGGTCAACTTTTGTCGCAAAAGCGAGACATAGTAATCCTACATTCCGTCGTCGTCGTCGTAGGCGGAGTCCACAAATATTCACTCTGTGGTTAAAGTTTTTGAAATTTTAATAACTTTCTTAAACTATCCTGGATTTCTTAAACTATCCTGGATTTCTACCAAACTTGGATAGAAGCTTGTTTATGATCATAAGATAGTATCCAGAAGTAAATTTTGTAAAAAAAAAAAAATCCTGTTTATCCGTATTTTACTTATAAATGGACTTAGTTTTTCTGCCAGTTAAGGTGGTACCCAACACCTTTACTAATATTAATTTGGCTCGTTTAATTTTCATAAAATTTTGACAAAATGTTTACTTTGACCCTTTGACAAAAATATAAAAATTTCAAAAAATTGGAACCAACCACTTTATCAGAAAAATTTCGTTGGTTATATAGCAGTTTGACCAACACTAATTTTGATCATTGAGAAGCTTAATATTTCCTTAACAATACAACGTAATTAAAACGTTTAGCTGATTTTTACAGAGTTATCTCCCTGTAGTGTTAGGTACCACCTTAACATTACATTCACTCTGTGGTTAAAGTTTTGAAAATTTTAATAACTTTCTTAAACTATCCTGGATTTGTACCAAACTTGGACAGAAGCTTGTTTATGATCATAAGATAGTATCCAGAAGTAAATTTTGTAAAAAAAAAATCCTGTTTATCCGTATTTTACTTATAAATGGACTTAGTTTTTCTGCCAGTTAACATTACATTCACTCTGTGGTAAAAGTTTATAAAATTTTAATAACTTTCTTAAACTATACTGGATTTGTACCAAACTTTGACAGAAGCTTGTTTATGATCAAAAGCTAGTATCTAGATTGAAATTTTGTAAAAATTTATTTCCTGTTTTTCCTTATATTACTTATAAATGGACTTAGTTTTTCTTCCATTTAACATTACATACAGTCTGCAGTTTAAGTTTTTAAAACATTTATTAGATTCATAAACCATCCTGGATTTTTACCAAACTTGGATAGAAGCTTCTTACAATCAAAAGATAGTATCTAGAGGAAAATTTTTAATAATTTTTTCCCCATTTTTGTTGAGCCTGCGACTAATAGCAAAAGTAAGCGAGACACTGGGTTCCGTGGAACCCTTACGAATTTTTCTTCTTTTTGTTGCAGAAATTTGAGACTTAATAATTTATAAGAAATAATCAATAATTTTGATGAATCAAGTAACAGTAATTGTTTACTTTTCTTGGTTACCAATTTTTGTGGATTGAGGTAACCTTGTATTTTGGTGGATTGAGGTAACCTTGTATTTTGGTGGACTGAGGTAACCTTGTATTTTGGTGGATACTTGATTTTGTGGTTTTAGCAATGTCTGCATACATTCCTATAGAAAATTTGTAATTCGTTGAACTTTTAAATTCGTGGTTTCCCTGTACCCACAAAATCCACAAAACTTGGTATCCAACAATAATAATGAAAATATACAGTATCTTGCTTGCCTGTAAAACATTTTCAACTCTTTCATATATAAGGGCTACTTCTAAAGAAGCCTAACTCATGAACTTAAGGGATTTTTAGTTTGAAAATGATTTTATTATACTAAATCTTGTGTTTCAGATTGTGATGAAAATTCAGGACCAGATGAAGAAGCAAAGGATAAACAAGGAGGAGATTTAGAATGGGATCCATCAAATGACAGGACACCTTTAACATCAGTATGTGTTCACATTATTAAAAAAAATGCACACTTTTTGAATGTAACAAGACTTCCTTTGTTTTGAACTTTTTACCTATAAGAAATCTTTACAGATAATGATAGCTCTGACAGGTATGGTTTGCCTTAAAAACAAATACAAAAAATAATTAATATTTCAAATTGCTGGCTTATATTTTGTTTTATTTTTTAACTATGAATTTGCAATGAAAATTTCAAATTAAAAATAAGATATTAAATGAAATGAAATTAAAATAAAGAATAGAAATGTGTTATATATATCACTGTTGTTTAGAATTTGAACCATTTTTTTTTATTTATTTACTTGCATTGTATACATTGGAAGTCTTGGAATTGTTGTTTTGTGGTAACTGAATGTAATTTTATTACTAGTAACTAAAACAGTTTTTATGGTTTGTCCATATTTATTACAGAATTAATTCATATTTATAAATAGCTAAATATTACACAGAGGTGATAGTTTGGGATATGGATTAATACCATTTTCATAAAGGTTCATTGTGTTAATGCTGAAAAAAGCTAGTAGATTGTTAAATGCATGGGTATATCTTTATGCACTAGGAGAAATGATAATTAACTAATCATCCATAATTACTAAATAATAATATTTTAGGTTCCACCGTTTGATACTATATCGGAGGTTGGTATACACAAGTCTTGTAGGTTGGGGTGCATCCATTGTAGAAATCTGTCTCATTGTCACGTGTTTTTGTCATTATAACATAAATTTAACGTGTTTGTGTGATTAATGAATTACTTTTAACAAATTGAACACCATTTTTCTTGGAGGTATATAACAACAAATCTGTGGATAACAATGCATGTCTGACAACTTTGTTATTGTCTAACTAACTGACATTTCAAAGACACTGATCATGTACTAACATGTCAAACACATTAATCCATAAAACACATGCAATATTAAAGGGAGATAATTTTTTAAATTTCAAATATGAAGAATTTTAAAAAGAGAATATTTTGAATAGTTGTTAATGAGACAGCAATCCATCAGATATTTTACAATTGACTTAGAAAATTAATTTCACTACATTTTACTGTTGCATGTGTCAAGAAATTTTACATATTTAGTATGCCGAAGTGGATTTGAAACATACCAAATACATCACAGATGTTTAGGAATCAATTTATTATAGGAATTCATCATGTATTTTAGTTCTTTTTTGTCTGAATCTTCATTCTTTTTTATGTGATGTTAGTTTGTGTTTATTCTTGTTTTAATAAAACATCTGAATGTTGATGTATAAACGATCTGTATGGTACTCTTTTGTGCTATTGTGCCAACTGTTGTCTTTTTATTTCTTTTTTATTTGTTTCTTGCCTAATCATTACCTGCTTTACTTTCCTTGCCTGATTCCTGCCTGTTGAGATAACTTTGTGTTTATAGACAAGCTTTTGTTACCTTTTTAACTTGATTTAGTTTTACACTTGCTGCCATTAAACTGTCCTTTCAAACTTTTTTTATAAATTTGTTTACCATAAAAAAATTTGCAGATGGTTATCTGTATCTAGACTTGTCACAACTTTTTGAGTTTTGTGTGTCCAAATTATCTCTATCCATGAATAACCATTCTTTTTCAACAAGATCGAGACTAAATGACCCAGTCAGTTTTCAATCTTTGATTTATAAAAATAAGAAGATGTGGTATGATTGCCAATGAGACAACTCTCCACCAGAGACCAAATGACATAGAAGTTTACAACTATAGGTCACCATACATTTTCATATCTTTTTAATTAAAATCAAAAGATAAAAAAAACTTGTGGCAAGTCTCATTCTGCTGAAGGTCATTCAATGTGAAATTCTTAAATGGAAACTGTTTATACACATAACAAATCATTGCTGTTAGGAAAATGGCTTGAAATGTATAGCTTTCTAAAAAGAATTATTTAATCATTTTGAAATTATGAATAGTCAAAATATTTTTGAAACTACTGCTATTTTCACTATGATATTTGATAACTAGTATAAATGCAACTAAATAGAGATACAAGTTTAGCAGTTGAAGTCATCTTTTAATTTCATAAACAAGGCAATTTATTCTTTGTTTTTTTCCTGATCTATAGTTGCAAACAATTAATTTGTTTAACATTTTATCATTGTTTGTGTTTATAACTTAAAACCAAATGGACAAGACCAAAAAAAGAAGTCGGTTTTAGGGGGTATGAGATATTTTCAATGAATTTTCTGTAATGAATCTATAAAATACATTTTTTAATAAAAAAAAATAATAAATAAGTCTTATAGTGTTGCTACAGTCTGGAAAGAACTCTGGAATGAAGTAATATTTTTAATTGAATGTGATTGGTGTTGTATGCTTTGTAGGATTTTATTTATCAAATGTTACCCTCACCTATTTTGAGTGTTATGGATGACATTGAGGAGCTGTCCCTTGAGAGTGCTAGCACGTTTGGTACTCTCGGTAGCATGAAGGTCGGTATTTGTAGTTCAGCTTTACCAAAGCTTTTGTGTTCATAGCATGCCAATAAACCTTTGACCTATTGTAAAAAAATGAGCTTATTATTAAAACTGGCTAACCTTGCTACACCCATCCAGCAAATTACCAAAAATAGATATTTCCTTATTAAATAAGTTTGATTGCTCATATTTTACAAGAGTTGGCTCTCAACCAATTATGAATTAAATTTCTTGAATGAAAATTTTAAATCTGTGTCGTGAGAAATCCATTTGTGGTCATAAAATGATTTCTTGAATGAATTTTTAAAATGTGTGTCATGAGAAATAATTTGTGGTCATAAAATGATTAAGACTCAAAGTTTTATATAGATTTCAATGATGACCATTTTCATGGGTGTATCACTCCACACTTAGGAAGTCCTTTATGTATTGTTTAACAACTTCCTCTACTATTTTAATATACCAGTACTAATCTTTCACAATGTAGTTAGTAGTTTTCAAAAGTTGTTTGCACTTATAATAACTTCACACAACTACTTTCCTATCCTTTCAAAGGTTTTTATGTGGTTGGATGTGATGTTTCTATCAGGAAGGACTAATTTTGTTTAGTTTTCCCTTTCTCTTCTCACTATGTTACTGTAATTTCAGAAATTTTTGGGCTGTTTTTATTATTGGGAAAATTGTGACTAGATAGGTGTCTCAAAAAATAAAAACTTGCATTTTAAATTTTTATCGAATTATTTATATGCAGCAATAATACAACTCACATTTGTGTTGATTGTTCAACAATCACATTAAAATAAATGCATGCAATAATTTCTGAACTGACAGCAACTCCCTTGTTTTCAAAACAGAGTTATTCACTTATTCTAAAAGTTTGGTCAAGTCACTAAATGAAAAGCCCCTGAAGCTTTTTTATTATGATTGTCAAAGGTAAGGTCACATAATTGTATTATCAAATGGGCAGCTAAATTCAGCAGTATACTAAGCCATATTGATGTCATGTATGCTATAGAGTTTGAAAGTCAAGTGTCAAAGGTCAAGATCATAAAAACTTTGCTTTAAAGGTAAAAAGTTTGTAGTTATGCCAGGACTTGTTTTTTTTCAAAGTATTTGACAACATGTTTGGTCAGAACATTATGCCAGGACTAGTTTTTTTTCAAAGTATTTGACAACATGTTTGGTCAGAACATTATGCTAGGACTTGATTTTTCAAAGTATTTGACAACATGTTTGGTCAGAACATTATGCCAGGACTTGATTTTTTCAAAGTATTTGACAACATGTTCGGTCAGAACATTATGCCAGGACTTAATTTTTTTCAAAGTATTTGACAACATGTTTGGTCAGAACATTATGCCAGGACTTGATTTTTTCAAAGTATTTGACAACATGTTTGGTCAGAACATTATGCCAGGACTTGATTTTTTCAAAGTATTTGACAACATGTTTGGTCAGAACATTATGCCAGGACTTGATTTTTTCAAAGTATTTGACAACATGTTTGGTCAGAACATTATGCCAGGACTTGATTTTTTTTCAAAGTATTTGACAACATGTTCGGTCAGAACATTATGCCAGGACTTAATTTTTTTCAAAGTATTTGACAACATGTTTGGTCAGAACATTATGCCAGGACTTGATTTTTTCGAAGTATTTGACAACATGTTTGGTCAGAACATTATACCAGGACTTGATTTTTTTCAAAGTATTTGAAAACATGTTTGGTCAGAACATTATGCCAGGACTTCATTTTTCCAAAGTATTTGACAACATGTTTGGTCAGAACATTATGCCAGGACTTGGTTTTTTTCAAAGTATTTGACAACATGTTTGGTCAGAACATTATGCCAGGACTTCATTTTTCCAAAGTATTTGACAACATGTTTGGTCAGAACATTATGCCAGGACTTGATTTTTTCAAAGTATTTGACAACATGTTTGGTCAGAACATTATGCCATGACTTGATTTTTTTTTCAAAGTATTTGACAACATGTTTGGTCAGAACATTATGCCAGGACTTAATTTTTTTCAAAGTATTTGACAACATGTTTGGTCAGAACATTATGCCAGGACTTGTTTTTTTTTCAAAGTATTTGACAACATGTTTGGTCTGAACATAAATCCTGTTCAGTTTTAGCCTTTGTTGATAACTTAAAGTAACAGAATACCACCATAGAAAATCTACTTTAGATAGCACTCAAGTATGCTTACAAGTTAATCTTACTTCCATGTTCCTGGTGAGAACATGAACCAAGACCAATTTCAAAGTTAAAGGTCAGGGTCATTGAATGACTTAAACAAAACATGAAATTATTTTGGGAGAATGCTGATCTACTTTGTCTTCTTTTCTGGTTTTAAGAAATATATCTTGAATGCTATGTTCTCTTTGCAATTTTACTTTCGAATTGAATTAGTGTTTAAAATGGTTTTGTTTTCTGGCAATTGAACATAGATGTTATATTCATACTTAAAAATATTATGGTATTTTGAATTATATTTTTTTATAATAATTTTTTTTTAACAAACACTGTGTTGAATTGGAAAAATAAAACCAACAAATTATTTTTATTTACATTATGGTTTTGCAAGTAGAGGAAATATATCTCCATAATTGAACCTTATTTATTCTTATGCATTGTACCTAGTGAAAATTATACTGAAATGTTCATGACTTATGAGTATTTTTTGTTGTATGATTTTTCGTGAAATGAGTCACAGTATTTTATTGAGTCATAATATTTAGAATTCTATGAGCATGATAAGGGGGAGGAGATATCTACAATCAGTTAATCAATTTTGATAATACTGATTGCATAGATATTCTAATAACAAAAAGCCTTTGGTTAGTTTAGACAAGACATTAGATCGAGGTTCACATAAAGTGCCACCGTCAGGCTATGAGACAATGAGTCACTATCAAGATATTGACAGGTTCAACATGATTTATAAAGTGATAAACTGATATAGTCAGTGTCTCTGATGTATTTTTCATCTTTTAAAACTGGTCATCGACACAGAAATCTCCTCATTCTTTGTAAAGGGTCAATATCTCAAAGCTCTTTAAAAATATTGACCTTTAACAAAGAATCTGTTAAAATTAAGCTGCTTGGGTTAAGTTACAAATATTGTTTCAATGTATTTTCATGATTCACACAGGGCTATTTCACCATATTTATACTAATTTATTTGAATTGTTTACTTTCGATAATTGTCATGTCATATTGACTAATAAAACCCTTAAAATAAAAAATGAAAGTAAAGTTTGCATAACAATGATAATTTCAATGTTCATCCTTTTATGGTATTAAATTTGTTATCCTAATTTACTGGGAAATAAAACCATCTTATAATGGAATGATATCATGAAATAAAATTATGCTGTATATTTCAAGCTGATGAACAATTATAATTTTAGAAATAAAAATTCTACTAACCAAATAAAAAAAATTGACCTGATTTAACATCATAAGATAATGTACTATAATTAGAATAATAATTAAGTTCATGAAGCAAAATATGAAAGATAGGTTTACAAATGACGATTAATTTTCAAATTTATTCATTTTTATTCTGAAAATTTGGACCTCTACCCAATTTCAAAATTCTAAAAATCTTATTGCAAATCTACAGATGATGTACTTGTGCTACATGATGTCTTGAATTTGCATTGTGAAGTGAGCTTTTGGTCTGAATTGAAGGCCTCACTATGACATTGAGATGAAGAAGAGCAATAAAAGCACTGTTTCTTTGCTTTGGGGTTTGCTTCATACAGCATTCATAAAGAAGTCAAGGTCCTAAAACTGAAAATGAAAGTAGTGTTAATGTCTAAAGCTTGATTTTATAATTCACCCATATTCCCTGTGAATTGAGACCCATACCAAATGTCAAATATGTTTGTATTCATTCATGTCATAGAATATTATACTGAAATTTTGGACCCTTATCCAATACAAAATTCTAAAAATCTTATTACTCAACTTGTGCTACAGGAATGTCTTGGATTTGCAGTGTGTGTGAGCTTTTACTCTGTGTTGAAAAAAAATCAATCTTGCAGGATCACACAAAGACCCTGTGGGTTTAAATCTTTAAATTTGATAAAAATGAAATTGTGACAGATGGAGACAACAATATACTTAAACATTCTGACAAAGTGCAGAGATACAAACAAAATGACTTAAAGTCATATGAATCTAGTTTCTCTGGTGATTATAATGTTGTTCATCAAATAATTGATCCAATGCGTGCATGTTTTCTGAACTGTGTCCTTTGTGCACGATTCTTACATTTATTACGAATCCATAACTTATAGTCCACAAAACTCTGATCTTGACTTTGATAAACAATCAACACAACCATGGAGCACTTGTATAATAAGTGAGATGATAGAGTGATGTTAATTTGTTGTTTTTTTTATACCTTCCATGTGTTCCCATTAGTTAATTAAACTTTGTCATAACATTTGTTAAATTATTTGGTGTATTGAAATTTTGTTTCAGAATTGGTTGATACTATTTTCCTTCCACATTTGTTTACTTTTATTTCCATCACGACTAATCTTTTTTTTTAAATTTGAAGGATCCTTCAACTTTAATTAAATAACATTTATACAAAGTTAAATATATTTGTTATATTATGTAGAAACAAGAAGAAGATGGTTCTGAGGCTGATCCTTTACAAGTACTAGAACAACAGAAAGAATTAACGATGGAAGGCAATGGCGACAGTGGTTACGAGGCAGAATCACGAAAAGATCCTGATGATGAAATTATCAATATTACACCACCTTCTCCTAATAAAATGTACATGTATGACATTTCAGGACAAAATACTAACAACTGGACTTCAACGCCTAATCGTAAATTATTGGAGTATGAAGAATCGGGTACTTAGAGGAGGTGTATCTGGTTGCTAGGGGAACAACTTATAAAATATATACACGATTGTGCTCTCCATGGCTGGCTTTGTTAATGCTTTTATGATCAGAGTAGAAGAGTCAAAAGGAAAATCTTTGGAGCTGTACATGTTTATATAAGGGAGCTAACTCTTTATGTTTGCCTGATGTATTATGTTGTGTGATTGACTGCTGAATATGGAATATAAGTCATTTGATTCAGATCCATTATGTTCTGCAATATATGTTTCTTTTTATTATGATTCAATTGCATTAATTTCAAATCTTTCTCTATATTTTTATATGAACTAAAAGTCAACAGAATGCAACATTTAAACAAAAAAAATGTTTAAAATACTTAATGTTTCAAAGGCAGCTACCATAGTGCATTCTAAATACTGAGGCCAGTACAGGGTAAAGTGACTAATTCTTAAATGTGGAGGCAGATAAAGCAGCATCTATTTATATGAATTGTGATATATTTTGCTTGCTGGAAATTAGATGTATTAAAAAAAACTACTGTTGTAATGCAACAAAATGCATTTTGATATTTGCTATGATTAAAGGAAGATATAGGGTATTGACAATGAAACAACTATTCACCAAAAAAAAAACAAAACACAAAGATATAAAGAAAGAAAACCATTCACAAGATTCTTGATTAGGACAATCACATTAAGATTTTGGACTGGATAAACTTGTTTTAACTTGTTTAAGATTATATAGCCCTTCTCTTTTTTGTCGCGGCCAATGGAATAGCAGACGGAACAGAAAAAAAATACAATTAAAATCGGTTAAGATAAATGCTTTATCTTTATCAAAGAATGCTTGCATTTACTGAGAGCAAGCTCAAAGCATTTATTCTTCTAATATAGAAATCATGCCTCCTCACACTCTGAGCTGGTTACCTGTCTATAAGGTATTTATAGATGAAGTTCACTTGTTCATAGGTTGAGTGTTGGAAAATATGCATTAATGTTGTTATTGTGTACCTCTTGTTTGCATTAAATGCAATTCCTGAGTATTTCACATTTTATTTTTATTGATTTTACATAATTTATTGTTGTTACCATCGTAATCTATTTTGCATAATGACACATTGTTACAATTTTCACTTATTGCAATTTACTTTGATTTTACAACTATGAAATAATGTACAAGTATATTTATAAATTCTTCAATCTGTTTTACTTTTCTTTTTCTTTAGACAGAATCAAAAAGAAAAAAAAATCATGGGTAGCAATTCACAACTCTCTTTTTTGATATGAACTTTGTGTTGACTTCTAGATGTGTTTTTGATATGTGTGTGATTAGGTTACTGTCTCATTGAAGCATACCCCCAAATCGCCAAAACTTTGTTCAAAAACAATGTGCAACTATATCTTACAGTGCATGCATACCAGTCACTTGAAACATTCTTGTTTATTATTGTGTATTGGTAATAGCATTTCTTTAGAATATATAGTACTCTAGAACCCAAGGCTTGAATACAAAAATAAGGAAGATCCATTCAAAGCATCTTATCTGCTTACCCTTCCGGAGCACATGAGATCACCCCCAGTTTTTTTTATGGAGGTTCGTGTTGCTAAGTCTTTAGTTTTCTATGTTGTGTTTTGTATACTGTTGTTTGTCTTTTTGTCTTTTTCTTGTTTAGCCATGGCATTGTCAGTTTATTTTAGACTTATTAGTTTGTATGTCCCTTTGGTATATTTCACCTCTTTTTGATCAGAACAGCCTTAAATGGAAAATTCTGCAGTAAACCACAAAAAAACAAATCTTCCACAAATGAATAATCTGTTTTGAGTAGAATGGGATAGGAGAAGATGCCACTGAGACAAAAATCTTACAATGGGACATTAGGGAATTGATCTCAAGAACACAAATGTATGCATAATCCTATTAGAATATATAGAAATGAATAAGCCAGGAAAATTAAAGCCATCAAAAACATGCGACATTCGAATCCAAGATTCACCAAATGTATTCTCAATTTCATATTGTTAAGTTGAAATTAACAAATTCATCTAAACACACTGTTAGAAAGGATATGAGTTTTCCATAAAATAGGTCACTTGCTACTAGTATTCATAATTCATTGATTGGCATTGTTTAGGGTTATGAATGACCACATTGAGAACCAAATATTATGGATATGAAAAACCACAGACATCAATATAATAAGTATGATTCAAAAACACAAAGGGCCAAATTTGCTAAAAGTAATGAAATTAATAGGCATCTATTTGAATGCTAGTAGAGAAATACTGAATTCTACAGTCTCTCAAAAAATATAAACAAACAAAAATTACATTAATGTATGCACAGAGTGAGGTGTACCGGTATATACAAACTTTTGAATATAAAAAAGAAGATGTGGTATGATTGCCAATGAGACAACTCTCCACAAGCGACCAAATAACACAGAAATTAACAACTATAGGTCACCGTACGGCCTTCAACAATGAGCAAAGCCCATACCGCACAGTCAGCTATAAAAGGCCTTAAAATGACAATGTAAAACAATTCAAACGAGAAAACTAACGGCCTAATTTATGTACAAAAAATGAACGAATAACAAAAATGTAACACATAAACAAACGACAACCACTGAATTACAGGCTCCTGACTTGGGACAGGCACATACATACAGAATGTGGCGGGGTTAAACATGCTAGCGGGATCCCAACCCTCCCCCTAACTGAAGACTGGTTTGAAATCTGTAGGAAGAATTGAATACACAAAATGTGTACCCACCATCAAGAATTCTGTTGAATTTAGACTGTCAATTAAGTTTCACCATCTCGAAAATCTGCAAACATTTTCCAAATGTGTACACAAAATGAGGTGCACATCCTGAATATATTTACAAACATCAAGAAAGTTGGAAGGCTTTGGGTTGAATGTGTTCAGGAGATGCTTAAATAAAAGTAGTTCCTTCAATTGAGAATGTTGATTAAAATTAAACAAGTTTCACCACCTAAAAAAGCTACAAAGATATCCCAAGATCCAGATAGGTACACAAAGTGAGGTGCACATCTTTAATGTACATGTATTTACACATATTCTAGAAAGGTTGAAGGTTAAAGGAGGGGTTGATTACATAAAATAAGTATCCTCCATCACCTATGTTATGGAAAATTAAAATTCCCCTTTTAGAAAATCTTCAGCAAATATTGAAATCTGTTTAAACATACTGAGGTGCACATCTTCAATATTTATTAAACATTCTAGTAAATTTGAAGTCTCAGGGGTTGAAAACTTAGTGATGATCTTCTAAATGTGTACAAAATTATCATGTATTCACAAAATGAGGTGCACATTTACAATTTAATTTATACTAATATTGTAGACAAATAGAAGGCTTTCAGTTTAATGCTGAAAAGGAGGAGAGAATTACACATAACTGATCATTTTCCCAATGCAGCTTGTCAAGTCTCCTATATTTGCCTATTTTTCTTGGCTTCCTATTTTTTTCTTTTTTGGACAAAATTCTCATTTATTTCCTATATTTGCAAAATAAAAGTTAAAAATAAATAATGATGAAAAGAAAGTTGTAGTCTTAAGTTCTTTGATTTAAGAACTGTATTAAAGAACTTAAAACATAGAGCAAGATCATAGCAGTTATATATACATGTATGTTGTATCAACCTGTTTACTTCCATATCTTGTGAATATTTGCATTATAATAGTATTTTTAATAAAACATATTTTTCAGAAATAACAGTTAGGTATTGTATTTTCTAAAAGATTTCTTTGATAGCTGAAACAGGAAAATGATAAAACATCTGGCTATTATTTCCTATCGACTAGCCATTTACATGTAAGAATTCATTTTTCTTGTGTTGAAGAATAAAATATTCTATTTCCGATTTCATCTCTGTCTGACCATTTTTTTCCAGTTGATAAAGGAAAAGATGTTTTCTTGAGTAATTCCTTGTGGAAGTACAAAAGTTATCCTTTCTTGAGGAATATACCAAAGATGGTAATAAAGACCTGGTAAATATTTGATGTAAACCTAGTTCAAATATTTACTCACCTTTTGCACTTGGTGCAATAAAGAAGTTTACATTGAAAACTCATGATTGAATCAATTATTACAGCTTACCAAAAAACAGAAACACAACATTCTAGAAATATGTTTTTGGCTTCAGAACAGTCAAAGTTAGTTGCAAAACTATACTAATCACCAGAAACTTCAGGACAAGCTAACAGATCACTTGGTATTTCAAACCATCTGACTAATAATACTTTTAAAAGCAGAACTTGTTCTGGATCTAAAAACAGCCAGTTCTGATATGAGCTATAGGTCCTGTAATAAAATCCATGTAGTAGATACATTTAATTCTAAGTTTCAATGCCAAACTGCTACAAATTCGATACAGAGTCCTTTATACCACAAGGCACACAATCTACCAAAGATTACCAAAGATCCGATTTATAGCTCAAAATGTGTCGTCTCATAACGAAACCTTTTCAAAATATTCAGTCTTTTAAAGGTACTTTTGACATGACTTTTTTTACCTTTGACATGACCCAAAAACCAATAGGGTCTTGTTCTTTCCAGGAAACATTCCCAAGGTAACTTTGGTGAAGGTTGGATATTTGGATCAAAAAATATAATCTGAAGACCATTTTGTCCCAATTTCCGACCTTGATAGCTGCTGTGGTCTTCACATGTGACCATGTGACGTTAAAATCAATAGTGGTCTTCCTAAGGGATACTATCAAACTAAGTTTTGTAATGATAGGATGGTTCAATAGATATCTAAAAATGTATGAAATATGCCCAAATTTCAGTCTTTAAATTGTTGTTCTGACTTTAACCTTGACTCAGTAATCGTAGAATCAATCAGGTGCCCTTTTTCACTGAAGGATTATCCACCATCAAAGATTGGTGGTAAAGATCTGATTTACGGCTCATAAGATATTGCCTAGAATGAAACTTTAATGTCAGTCTTTTAATAGGCAATGTGAATTTGGCATTTGACCAATTGATCGAAACTTCAGGTCATGTTCTTTCACAAGGACAATTTCCAGCTAACTGTTGTGAAGATTAGACATGGAGGTCCTGGAAAATGTTTTCTTAATCTTCAACACCTTTTTAACCACTGAAGAGGGATTAAACAAACCTCCTTTTTTTCTACAATAATTGTCAACATAGACTTCTAACAGTTAAAACTTTAAAACACTAATATTAAATGGTTATAACCTAGCTACAGTATACTTGCTAGTATCCTTATTTGTAAATCCTGCTCGGTGGGCAAACATCATGAAATGGGAGTTGACAGTTAACGAATATTCATCATTGGTATGTGATTCAGAGGTTTACATGGCAGCATATCACTATTCCAATTTACATTTTTAGCTTCACGGAAATAACTTTTAAAACCATGAGTAAACAAGTCTCTCAATCTTGAATACAATTTACAGTATAACGTATTTCTACGTGTGCACTAAAAGATTCTCAGATGCTGAGAATGTAAATAGGTAATGAATGCTTAAAAATCATATTAATTTTAATAGATCTTTTAACTTTCAATGAGACTTTTAACGTGATTAAAACTGACTTATTTTTTCTCTTTTCATCCTAGCTACTCCAATACTATACTCGAATTTAAAGTGACTTTCATTGCATTTGAGACGAAGTTGTTGACGGTAATGCTTCGAATTCTAGGTAATATTATCTCTTTTATGGCAAAACTTAGGTAGTTAAACAAAAAACAAAAAACTGGCATGTACCATCAGCGTAAAATAGACCTAATTTTTCTGATGATCAGTTCAAGCAATATCAAATTGAGATAAAATCATATATAGGGGCATATAGAGTACAAAGAAACTTTAAATAAAGTTTAAGAAAGGTGCACATGAGTGAAGTAGAAACACAGACATATAATATGTGTCTCTGGTAGAAATAACTTTGGCCATTTCTTGACACACAAGTTAATCAACAGCCAAAAATAATAAACAAACAACGAAATCATTACAAATTAACATGAAATATTTGAGATCATTCAACAACGCATATATACAAATGTCCTGTTTCAGGAAGGGACAAATCATACTTTGTGATTCAAGGCAGCTTGAAAATAAATATCCTGACCCACAAAATGTCGGAAAAAAATAAAATAAGTAATCATGCAGCATTGTCTTAAAAAGCGAATATTCGTACTCGAAATGATTGAAAA